GACCAACTCCAATGGGATCCAAAGTTTGATATTTGTTGCAAAAAACCTCAGATGAATATAGCGCTTCGTAAGTCATGACCTTAGATCTACTTATTTGGGATGGACCACCTTTATCGACTTTTCATTGGGAACAACAAAAGATATTTCTTCGACAAAGTTGTAGCTCTCAACAAAACAAACCATTTTTGTGAACAAAGGAATTCACCACGACCATTCCTGAGAGTTTACCAAAAACATCATCTTACACTTATATCTCTCTTCATAAGAAAGAACAACAAACAATTACACGGCCAAATTCGTAAAGGAAAAATTAAAAGTCATCATAAACTTTCAGAAAATTACACATTATTTCAAAGTACAAGGAAATCGGTAAATAATCATATGATTCGCTGAAAATAAAAGTGCGAATGACCCAAAAATAACTTTTTCGAAATTATGTCGAAATCGGAGCTTTGGGTATTCCCACTTCTATCAAAATTTAATTATATTCGGTATTTTCTGACTGTGTATGCGATTTTTTTTACTTCGTCGTAATTCCAATGATAAAGAGATGTTGGTAATCAATTTGATTTGATTTTATTTCGCGCTATAGATTTGACTTTCCGACCTCTGCAAGATTATCAAAAAAAAAATCATTTTTTTTCTTATACTTAAATATTTTCAAAACTGTTAACAATATTTAATAGCTGTGTTTTCGTGATTTTGTTGTTTGGACCTTAATCCATTTAAATGGGGCAGTTTCAGCTATTTCATTTTTGATGACAGCAGTATTATTTGATTTTGGGACATTTTTGTCAGATCGGGCCGTTTTTGGTATAGCATATATTAAGACTAATTTTCCAATTTTGTAACCAGTATCAAGAAAATTTAAAAAGAGATAATCAAAAAACTCAGCAATACAAAATTTTCACATTCATAATTGAATTCGTTCAGAAGACTCTTTCAATTTGCATGAAAATTGCTCTTCAAATTTCTCACATTTTTCCCCTTTTGCTTTCGCATCGAAATGTTGCTGTAGTAAGTTTTCCTACATTTGTTCCTTCAAACGAAGAAAATTTATCGGACGCAAAAACCTCTTAAATTTTTCATTAAATAAGTTTTTGGGTTTTTGTTTTCTGTATAACAGATGATATCAAAATTCGTTCATGTTAGTCTCTTACCGAAGCCATGGTCTATTTATAGGAATTCCCATATAAATATTGTGACCGAACACTGACGCGCTCCCTGATTGCGTTAAATAAAACTAATCTGTCCCAAATGTTTTGTGTTGCATCTAACAGATGGCGCTCGCATATTCACAATAACAAAAATCCATTTAAAAAGTCTAAAAAGTACAGAAAATAATTTAAAAAAGTAACAATAAATAAATTTTAAAACGTTTTTTAATGGAAATTATTTTTCTTTGTAATTTTGTGAGATTTACTGTTCTCAATATTGAAAAATATTTAATTAGACAAATAAAATGGTTAACATAACCCTAGACATAACCTCACTTTTTTGTCACAATGATAACAAGTTGATTGCTCAAAAAATCTACAAAACACCAGAAAATATTTACAAAATAAATGTTAATATATTTTTAAATGTTAATTTAAGTGAACATTAATAACATTTTCATTTTTGTGGGATTTGAATTCAAAATATTCGAAAATAACTAAATCAAAAAGTGTGCATCATAGCCTTACTTTATTTATTTTTATTTATTTATTTCACCGTCTGACAAAAGTCAATTTCATATACTTATAGTTAACCGTAGTTAACTATGATCACAATTGAAATTTCTCAACTCAAGTTACATGAAGACGCATATAGTCACTTATAGTTAACTTTATCTGGCTGAAATATCAGCCATTTTTGTCCCAAATTAGTCAATAATTTATGGCTATGAAGTCGAAATATTTCCACATTGAAATATATCACATTGTCCAATTTTACAATATCATTTCTAAAAATTTGTCTCGATGCCGATTCTAAGAATGTTTCTCTTACTAAATTAAAAATTTTACAAGCTACGTAGAAAGGTTGATTATATGCATACTCCGATGAAAATGTTCTAACTAAAATTTACGTGACCAATTAAATCAAATCAAATAACTTACTTGATTTGAATAATTACTTCAAATTAAATGATTTGATTTTTTATTTTGATTTAAAATTCACTTTTGAGAACTGTGATTAGTCAACGTCTCATTACGGCAAGACTATGAAACAAGTTTTATCATATCGATCTGATGAAAATAAGAAAAAAATAAATCAAAATTATATTATTGAATATGGAGAATTTAAAGGGACGTATACAATGTTATTCCGTTAAGTTTTCTCTTCAAATGACACCAGAGTCACTTTTTTGATAAACAATTTCAAACTTCATTTGATAAGCTTTCCAATAAAATGATAATTCATAAGTACAAATTCATATGTGAGAAATGTGTGAAAAAGTACGATCCACTACAATATTAAAATAATATAAATTACCATTGATGAAAGGACGTGAATGCCGTGTAAACATTGAATTGTTTCTGATGTGTTTTCTGCATTCAAAGTGAACAATTTCCATTTATATAATAGGAAAATGTCAACAGTGTCTGAGATTTATTGCCTTTCAATTATCATATAAAATAAAATAAGCTAAAATTAAGATAAAAATAAATACGATTGTATATGGTACACAGAATATCATAGCCAAACCAAATATGATCATCAGTAAACCACTTTTAATGAACATCGAAACGTTATTTAAATAGATAAAATCCCGAAAGTTTTTGAACTTTCATTGTAGTTTTCTCTTTAGTTGTTAGTTCAGAGTCGTTGTTTACCGTTTGACATGTGTCTTTGGGCAGTTGAAAGGAAAAATTATTTGGATGTTCTGGTATCAACTTGTTGATGATTTCTTCGAAGACATCGAATGAACATGCTGCAGGCACATGCACACACATGCCTATTGTAATGTGGGGCCTACTCAGATCAAGTCTACATACATAAATTGAAATCCTTTTTTATTTTCATTCTTGAAATGATTCCTGCTTAAAAATCTAGGCTCGCACATTACTGTTTTGGAATGTATATTATTTTGGTTAAATGGATATAAATAGTTTTTTATGAAACTATCCAGGCAGAAGCGTAGGGTAAGTGAGAGGTAATGAATGCAAAAATGTTTTCCATACGAATTAATGTGGTGCATCGACCATTTCATACAGAGCACAAAATTATTGCGTTAAATTCACCAAAACAAAGAGGTTTTATTATTACATGATTTTTTAACTTAACGCATCTTTCGAATGAACCATATCCGGAAAGATGACATTATTTATTTTACAAAGTCAATAAAGCTTCGATGCAATTTCCTCTTCGAGATCATAGAATAAACGTCCGAAGCAATATTGTGTTTTATATCCAAACATTGTGAAAATGAACCAAAATCATGTGTCACGAGTAATTAAACCATCTTGAATCGCCTTCAATTCAATTAAACACTTTTTGCCATCAACTGAATCAGTTTCTTGTTTCGACAATTTGGAATAACTTTGAAGAAAAAGATGGTATTTAATTTGTTCGAGGTCTATGAAAAAACTCTGTCTACTTTCACATCGCACATTATTTAAAAATAACAGAAATAAACCCAAAGAAATCCGATGAAGTTTAGACATTTCATTTTAAAATCACTCGATAAGCAACTCTTTCTATACGAGACTATTACTAGAATCATGTGCATAGATGATGACGTAAAATTTTTTAGGGGGGGGGTGATGGCAAAATTCTGTAGGGGGTTTCTGGAAAAATCCATGGGGGGTCCCTGACGATGTCAACAATTTGTACGAAATAACACAAAAATCGTTTTTTTTTTTTTTTTTTTTGGAAGTCACTTTTTTGGTGAAAATCCCTAGCAAATCGAAAGAATTTTTCAACTCCAAATTCTCTAGCAAATGACGATAAAATCGTTTTTTTTTTTTTGGAAGTCACTTTTTGAGGTGAAAATCCCTAGCAAATCGAAAGAATTTCTCGACCAAAAAAAGTGAAGAGCAAAAAAAAAAAAAAGGTCCTCATTTCCAAAATTGTTGAGGGTTCCTAAAAATATTTTAGGGGGGGGGGGGGGGGCCACATCCGACACCTAGGAACCCTCGTCATCACCTATGATCATGTGATCAATTAAAAGTTTTCTAATCTAAATCATAAAAAGCGATTTTGGAAATTAATAAGGATCATCAAATGATACGGAATGATTTCATCTACTATGATTAAGAAGTGTTGTTACTAAGTGTCAAGTGATTGATTAAAATATAAAAAAACTGTTAATGGCATTAGGTTTATTAAATCATAAACATAACTCTATGTATTCTATCTTTTATACAGGACCATTCTACACCGAACGGAACAACATTTTTTTTTTTAAATTTCGTGAATTGGCTAAAATTCTGCTGATACTGAAAAAAATGGTATTGCATAGTTTCTGTGCATTTCCGGATTGAAGCAGAGGTCCTAATTATATTGGGCCAATTTTTCTGCAAAAAAGGGAAAAACTCAGTATTTCAAACCAATTTCGATCTCCAAACATGCAAACTAACATGCATGAATTCGCTTTGAAGACATTCGCGAAAACCTCAACGAATTACCGTCCGTATTTTTAAATGAATAGTTCAAAGGTAAGAAACTTGTTTTTTCGTCAAACAGGTATATGATTTGATTCATTGTTGTGGTTGAAAGTAATTAAACTACTGACCTTTAAGCGTTTTGTTATAGCGCAATCAAGCATTAGCAACCGCACGAGGGATTTTGACACCACAAAGTATTGGAGTTAAGTCTCGTATATATTTTGCAAATTTGTCATACAAAAATGTATTCTGAGGATATGAATAAGTATGTATAATAAAATCTCCGTGGTTTAAATTAGTTTTATACTTGTACCGACATCAAACCATTACAGTTTCAGTTGTTCATTCACCGTTGGATAGTTTGGATGAACATTTCAAATTTAAAATACAGCTTTTAAGATATTTATTAAAATGAGTACAGTGTTAGCAACGATTTGTATCATTTTGATCACTTTCATACTATACGGGGAAATACGAAAATGGTTTCTCAAACGAAAGATGCGAAATTTTGAATCGCCGAAACAACTGCCCATTTTGGGTGTAGCTGCTCGTATGATCGGAAAGCCAAATGAAGAATTTATAGGCATGGTGCTTGATGCATTTGATGAAGTGAAATCGACACCGATTCAAGTGTGGTTGGGTCCATTTTTAGTGATTTTAATATCGGAACCGCAAGACATTCAAACGATTTTAACGAGTGATGATTGCCTGAATAAACCATATTTTTACGAACATTTCAAGTGTAAGACATCGATCATCGCAAGCAATCGTGAAGTATGGAAGCCACATCGTCGTGCTTTGAATGCAGCATTCAATTTTAAAATGCTACAAAGCTATGTGCCGTTGTTCAATCGAAAAGCACGCATTCTAATCAAACAAATGGAGCCATTCCATCAAGAGCCGGGCAATTTATATCGGACACTATTTATTGGCATGATGGATATGATTGCAGTTACACTCATGGGAATTGAAATGAATTTACAGCTGAACGGACGTGGTGCATTTTTCTACGACATTGCCAAATTAATCATGAATAATATTCAGTATCGAATTACACGATTATGGTTGAGATGGGATTTTATGTGGAATATTTCAAAGGTTGGCCGTGACGAAGAAATTCCGTTAAAAACCGGTTACGCACTCTTTGACAAAGCTTACGATGAAAAAGTAAACGAATTACGCTTGTTGAAATCGCAAGGGATTGACTATTTAGAGGAAGCTAAAGAGAAAAATGCAACAAATTTTCTCGACAAATGTCTGATTTTGGAACGAGAAGGAGTTTTCAGTCATAAAAACCTTTTAGAACAAATATATATGGTTACGCTGGCTGGCATCGATACATCATCAATCAATGTATTTGGTACTCTATTGATGTTGGCCATCAATCAAAAGCATCAGAATTTGGTGGTGGAGGAATTGCGATCGATTTTTGATTCAGCCGATTCGGATGTGACACAAGACGATGTATCTCGAATGCAGTACTTGGAACGTGTAATTAAAGAGTCACTTCGATTACTATCACCAGTACCATTCATCGCTCGAAAACCATCCGCCGATATAGAGTTGGCCAAAGGAACTATTCCGAAAGGTGCATTTGTTGTAATTAATATCATGCATTTACATCGGAATCCAAAGATTTGGGGTGAAAACGCGCTTGAATTTGATCCAGATCGATTTTTAACCGAAAACATTGCAAAACGACCACCATTTAGTTACATCCCATTTTCAGGCGGAGCCAGAAATTGTATTGGAATGAAATACGCAATGATTTCGGCCAGAATCACTCTTGCCCATTTGCTGCGAAGATACAAATTTACTACAGATTTGAAATTTGAAGATATTCGTGTTAACACCCACCTTGTACTCGAAGTAATCAACGACAAACCACTTCGAATTGAGGAACGGAACTTTTAAAGAATTTGGCACAAAAATTCAATAAAACTCCAACATAAACAGTATATAATCAGCGATCAAACTGGCATCAAATAACTTAATAGTTCTTGGTAATGTGGTTTCATAAAAACATACAAAAAAGTATTGCTGTTCTAGTTTGGCACAAAGTCATTGAGATAGTTTGGATGTTGTAATAAAAATTGAATTTGCCAAAAGTATTTTTGTTTGAAAAAAATAATACCTCAAATACTTATATTTCAAAAAGATTTTTTATATTTCAAAAAGAAAATTCAAAAAAAAAAGTTTTTTTCATTTGAAACTATTGCTTCATTGTTTATTCATACACTGTAACATTTCTGGGTAATAAATTAAATTATGAAAGAAAATAACAGTATTTCTGCGTAATTAGCGAATTGTTTTATCTAATAATGTCGCAGTAATCGATTATTTGTTGCTGTTTTCAATTTGTCTGAGCTTTGTTGCTGTTTATCAATTGGAGCATTTAGCATTTGAGTTTTTGAGTAAAAAATTGATTTAATGTTTCTCGTCAAAAAAAAAAAAATGAAGTCAAACTTGCTATTTTCATATTTCTCATTCCACAAATGACGAATTCCAATTAAATCACAACAATTGACAATTAAATAGTTCCGATAAATCACCAAATATGAGCATTCAAAGTTAAAAATGGATGAATTAATGAAAAAACAATCAAATAAGGTGAGTTAATGGTAAACCTTTCAAACGAGACAGACGGTCAATAAGTTTAATGCCATGTCTGCCTATTTTTTATGTGATGTGTGCGTTTGAAAGGTTTGAAATTGACACAACATCAATTGTTTTGACATTTTCCGCATTCTTCAAAAATTGAAATAGTAACAACGACATACAACTAAGGTGATTCCGTTTTTTTCTTCTTCTCAATTTGTTACATTCAAACTGAAACAATGTTTGACGGTAGCGATCAGAGTAAATCAAAAGTTGACACGGAATGTGGAATAAAATTGCTGACACGTATACTATCAAAAAAGCGTCCGACACTGGTGAATCTATCGCCGGAAATATTTCCGATCGACAGTCCCAAGCCGGGTGAAATATTCGAAATAAGTGGTGATTCGGGGAGTGGAAAAACGACAAATTTAATGGAATTAATTGCGCGAACGGTCATCCCACTTGAATTTGGTGGTAAGGGTGCGTCTGTCATTGTAATTGATACAAATTCAAATTTTCATGTATCATTGCTATTGCCGGTAATAATTGAAAAGCATGTGATTTACAATCGAACATCGTCATGCCAATCGACTGATACTGAAGTTTTGGTAGATGCCACCAGTAACGTTAGTGCCATTGTTCTCGACGCTATGAAAAAAATCGTATTTTTTAAATGTTATTCGAGCACAGAATATGAACTCACATTGTTATACTGTTCAAATTACTTGTTAACCAATACAAACGTCAGTCTGATTGTGGTCGATTCAATTGCGACATTTTATTGGAGCGATTTTTCTGAACAGCAACTCATTCGAATGGACACCTATCTCAGGAGACGCGTTCAAGAATTACGCAAATTGACCGACGAATTCAAGGTGGTCATTGCATATACACGACCAATGGAATTTGGCAGCAATTCAACAGCGATGAGCTATCAACAGGCCAACTACAAAATTCAATTGAAACCAGCCAAAGCAAATGACGAGTGGCGAGAAGCACGCAATTATTATTCAAATCAACAAATCTCACGACGATTTTCAATCAACGATTTCGGCATTAAATGGATGTCATCGATTCATCAATGAATAATAAAAGAACAATATTTTGATTCGTTTTAGCTGTAGATCTCAGTACAATGTGATTCGATTGAAATGTAGAAGTATAAAAAAATAAAAAATTAAACTTCATTTCAAATGTGTATATGGAGTATAAATTTTAATCAGAAAAATTGTGTGTTTTCGAATATATTTATTTTGGTAAATTTTTTGGTTTGGGAGCTCTTCTCTGATCTTTGAAAATGCAAAAATAATAAACTTAATCAATGACTAGTTTGTGTTGTGGAAAAAAGTCTTTTTTTTCTTGTAAAATTCCATTTGCTTTGCGATTTGGAATGTATTTATATATTTGGAGTGTTTTTCGATTATCCATCAAATCCATTGAAGCCGGTCAAATTATCGCGTAGAATGGCCACCAAACGCCTATTGAAATCTAGTAAGGTATGAGCCGATGTAAGTCCCACATACATGCTGTATAATTCATAGCACTTAATTTTGCCGTTATTTTTTGGAAAACATGTCTCAATCAACCACCTGAAAGAAGAAAAAGCAATTAATGTTCTCTAGTTTTGACGCATTCGATTCATTTTATTAAATCAATAAAAAAAATATTCGAAAAAAAGGTTGCTTTGTACAGAAACCTCGAAAACTTTCAATACAACAATAGTGACACCCTCCAGTTCACATACAATATGCATTTGGCTTTCTATTTTTCAATTATAGAGAGGCAATCAGTAAAAGTTCCCAATAAAAAAATAAAATGATAAAATTGAAGTTTCCAAATTTTAATTGACTCACTGATAAAATTCTCCCGAGATAACGCCGGGTACGACGTGCGGTTTTATGGCATTGGCAGACGTTGAACTCGGAATTTCTTTCGGCTTGAGTTGTGTCCCATGAGTGTCTTCAAACCATAGGAAGTACGAATAAAAGAAGACATCGTCTTGCCAAATCAATGATAAATGACCCTTTTGCAAATATGACCGCGACATTTTTACCATATTCCATACCTATGAATATATATTTTAATGAGTTCAATTTCAGAATTAATAATTTAAAATGTTTCTTACCTGTTTTTGAATCAGCGGCGCCCGCTTATTATCCGGATCAATAATCGGCACAACAATCCGGCCGGTCGAACGATTTATATGGATGAAATGTACCAAACCATTGATATCTTTGAATACCGTATTTTAAAGTGGTTAAGAAAATTTAATAAAATTAAAAAGAATATATATTTAAAAATATGGTGTATATAAAATAAAGTTGTCTATTTGAAAAAGGATATGATCCAAGAACGATATTTTGCAGGGCTTTGACTCGAAGGAATTCCGAGATTTCGACTAATTTTTCTTCAATTTTCGTTGCAATTTCAGCCACACGTTGTACACCATATAGAAGTGTATTACACTCAATACAAATCATCTAATATTTAGAAAATTAGTGTTGAAAAATGAGAATGTTAAAAAAAATGTCAAAAGGAAAATTTTCAATTTTTAAAAATAAATTCATGTTTTGTTTCCGTATTCTGCACCAAAAAATTGTCAAAAAATGTTTCCTACCCTGAATAGATCTTTGAGTGCTTCGACGAGACTAGGAATGTTGGATTCAATGGCAAGAATTAAATCCCGGTCGCTATTTTTGAATAATTCCAGATACTTTTTCCGTAGCAATTCCCATTTGCTGGAATACTTTTTAACGGCGCCTTCAATATCGGCATTATTGTATTTAGCTTTTTTGATTGCGTCCAAACTCTGTTTAATATAATGATCTAAATTTTCATAAGCCGGTCTCAGATTGTCCATATCGTTTTGCATTTGTAGAATACGAATTTTATGCACGGCAAAAAAGACGTCAAACAATCCACTAGATACGGTCAAACTGCCGTACTCGAGTAAAATAATGAGAGTTACATCGTTTTCCATGTGACAAATGTGTAAAATGTGTGGAATACAACCAGCATGAGAGCCATTAACATTTCCCTGCAAAAACACCAGATGTGTATCAACTTTTCGCTCGGAGTCGACCTGTGTTTCGTCGATTGAAACCGATTTTCGGCAGTAAATCTGCAGAAAAATCAAATCACCGGTTGATAATTCTTGTGCTGAACGACTGAAAGATACAATTTTTTTATGAATTTACCGAAAGAACCGGAAAATTAAAAAAAAAATACCTTGAGCACATGGAAAGTAGTTTATTTTTAACGAATAAAATCGAATGACTGCGTTGTGAGTATGGATCACGTTTTAGGTTTTCTGATGCAGTTTCAAGTGCCTTCTGGGCGACTCGCTTCAAATCCAAATTGATCAGCAGATTTTCAACGCCTTCAATTAACACCGACTGTTTTAAAGGAAGTAAATCAGTGCAAATATTTACAATGGATTTTCTTATTTACCTCATCATTTCGATAAAGATATTTCCAATTTTCCAATAATTTGCCAAGTGTGGTCGCCTTCACTGGCATAGTTTTCAGTCTGAAAATTGATAGTGTCGATAAACACAGGAAGCGTTGTATTCGTACGGTTTGTTTACTCACAGATAAATGTCAGGGCCACATAGATGTTTTATGAATGCAATGCAAATGCCTACGTATCGCTGTTGATAATCCACACTCTCTGTGGCGATGCTCACGAATAAGAAGCCCAGAAACTTATAAAAACATTGAAACGTATTTAAATTGACTCAAAACGGACATTGAACCAAAAAAACAGACGCAATTTTTTACCTCTTCAAAAACGAAATTCAAGTTGTCCTCCAGCTGAATCGATGTATAGGAATTATCAAACTGACAAAACATTATGCGTTGTGACGCAATGATTGGACTAAAAAGTTGAACAACAACATTCGTATCAATTTCACCACTTTCGATCTGCAAGAAACAAAAACAATTCATCAATTTGAACATTTTTTGAATCACAACTTTTTTATACCACATCATTTGGTATTAGCTCCTGTTTTTTTGCTAATTCATACAATTTCCGGTTGATTTCGTCATTTAATTGTGTAAAAATTATATCATTTTGCTGATCAAATACAAATAAACCGTCCATTTTATTCACAATTCAAATAAAAACAATTTTATCGCAAATTGTTTAAATCCACTAAAGGTTTCACTTTATCAGATGGTTTGACAGCTCAGTTGTGTATACAAATTGAAAGTGTGAATAACATATTTAACAGCACATGTACGGATGCGCACTAACACACACACACAGAGAGAGAGATATGCAATGGAGGCGCCCAATCTTATTTCGAAGTTACACTTTTCACGATGAAAAGTTGTTTGTAGATTTGAATCTATTTAAAAAAAACTAAAAAAATTCAAAAAAAAAAAAATCCCATGGAATTTCCAACAGTTTATCTATGAATTTAACAAATTGTTTTTCCAAGTAAAATAATAATTTAAAAAAAAAACCAAGTTCCATTATTATTTGTCATTCATACAGAAATATTCTATAATTTTTTTTATGAAATCAATCTTTGCTCATGACATTGATAGTAATAATTTTTTTTTTTAGTTATTTTCTGACTCTATCTGAATCAAATATAATGTCGTGTTAATATATTATTTTAAGAATTATTTATTTTTTACTATTTACTATTCTTTGTTGTACAAAAACGTTCTTTTTTGTTTTCGCTTGGAACTTTGTCAGAAATCTCATCTCTATGAATGTGTAAGGAGAGTTAGAGAGCGGGGAGAATGTGCAAAAGCTAAAGCTATGTGGAAAAAAGTAAAAAGTAAAATGTCAAGTCAATTATCCATCAGACCTAAGAGCGACACCAGAACGAATATTTAAAAAAAAAACCGGTTGAAGATCAAAAAAATTCAAAATGAATTTTACCAAAAAAAATGATATGGAGCTCATTTTTCTACGTTGGACCCCGGACATTCGATTTCAGTTCTATATATATTGTATTGCAACAAACTTTGCAGGGGGTCGAACTATATAAAAATAAATCGAATATAAATGACCGTCTAATCGAAACATTGTGACATTGTAATAGTTTTCCTGAAATGCATTTCTTTGTAACGGCATTTAAAATGCAATTTCATTGTGTCAACCGATGCACAATTATATATGTTCGTTTTAAAGAAAATTCGCTTGAATTGCACGATTAGATTGATTGATTATTGCACATAGTTTCGAAAAAAAAGCAATCGTCATCTAAGAATTGCTTAAAAAAACATTTTCGTTTCAAATGATTGCGGGTCGCATTCGGCTGATTTGAACAGTTCCTTTTTTTCTCGAAGTAATATTATAAACAACTTATTTTTCAGAGTCATAAAAGCAGATCATTTCAATGGAATAAGTAAGTATTTTTTCGACTCAACTTTTTCACAGCGTTAGTAAATATTTTGATAATTTTTTTCGAAATGCGTTTCTTTCTTCTATTCAATATAATTCCGGTTAGTTTGCTGCATTTAGTTCGTTAATGTTTTTGATATGAAAGTGACTTGCACATTCAATTGTGTCGGTTCGTCATCAAATTTCAAAAGTACTTATTTTAAAACATTTGCGATAACAAAATCAATTTAAAATTAAATCGTCATTCGGTTATAATCGCACAGCAATAACATTCTTCTCAATCGTATGCAGTTTTATTGATTGTTTCAAAGTCGATGCCATTCTTTGTTTGATATTTTGCGAGAAAAAAAAAATTCCATCCGCGATTAAAATTCGTTGTTCGCTATTCAGTTGATATGAAAGATTTATCATCCACTGTTTTGGTTTTCGGATTAAAGCAAAAGTATTTGAGTGAAAAATGCCGTGAACTTGTGTAATATTTGAATTGATGCAAATGAGGTTGACGATTTAATTTCGCGTGCTGACCATGTTTCCAATTCGAGTTCAAATTAACGCTTTGTACGTACCAGCATAATAAACACGTATCTGTTATGTGTTTTGCAAAAAAAACGAAGAATTAATAATGCAAAAAAATGTATTTGACGCATTCAACGCAATATCGAAACGTGTTTTTCATTAAGGCAACGATTTTACGATATGTATCGATCGTACGCCCCCTCTCCCCGACGACCACAAATCACATGATCGACATAACTAGACGATTAAGTTGTAACGGTACGTTCAAGGTATATGTGGTTTTGTAAAGTATATGGGTTTTTTTTGTGATTCAATTTTGTTCTTCTTTTCTTTTGCCGTTTCATTTGTTTTTGTTGTGTTCGGTGCTATTCGATCGAGAAGCGTGAGACTAATCTGTTAGTCCCCGATAAATGCGACTGAAATATTCTGTTCAAATTTCATATACAATCAGAGTGTGCGCGTTACCAGTATGATGATTTTACGTTTGGGCGATGAAAAAAAACTTCCTCTAGTCGGTTGCTGTTGCTAAATTTTGTTGTAATCACATCATGACACGAATCACATGATCAGTGTGTCATTTAAATGCTTTTTATGTTGTTATGTTGAACGAATGAATGAGAATGAGTGACTCAGAAGACTGGCCCGTCATTTTTTCGTTTCGCGAAACTAAACACGCGAAAAAAAGAGAAGAAACAAACACCAGTTGGATGCAACAATGATACCAAATCAGACCGTCTAAAACAACATCGAACCCATTTCAATTAAGTAGTAATTCGATGAGTGTGCCTGTGTATGTGTCAAATTAATCATTGAAGAAAAATTCAAAACAAAAAATAATCGTTAAGAAAATATATGAAAGTTCATATTGTTTTCAAGTGTTTTAATTTTTATTAAGAAAAATTCCGTCCAATTTTTCTCTTTCTCTCATCCACTCGCCGCGATCGAGTCTCTCGATACATCGCAACCGCTTGGTGCAAATAAATGTGATTAAAAGTGCCTGGAAACAGCGAAAATATTCCCTTGATCAAATAAAAAATGGAGATGTTGCCAGGTGGCAACTATCGTTGATGAAAAATTAACGCGCATAAACAGTTGTTACCGAGTGCAAATATCGAACACAGACGACGACGATCGTATTTAATTCGAAAGCAAATGTTTTTCAAATTAAATTATGTATGTACGGATAAACGAAAACATTTTGTGTGAACGGTGTGAATAATACTATGTGTTTTTTTTTTGTTGCTGGGTTTGTTTTGTTCGTTCCATTTTGTACCATTGTATACATCCACCGTCAATGTGTTTAATCTAACCATCATCGTCGGCGTGCACAATTGCAAACCACTCAGCAACTGATTGCAGAAAAATCATATCTGCGCCGCATAGCCGATTCTATTCATATACACTTGACCATAAGCACCCTATGACCAACCGTATTCACCGTAATGTTTTTTCTTGTACCAATTAAAAATAAAATACACGATAAAATGATAACGATGCTAATGCACTGATTACAAAACAAAAAAGCCCCAACGCTACATCATATAGCCTACATGTAAATAGACGAAATTCGTAACAAAAATTAACGTAAACAAAATTAGATAACGATGCGAATAAGACAATAGAATCTTCATTATAAATAACTGCTGGAATCGATTCATTATTTCAGACCAACGTTGATAGGCCAATCGATGCGATAGCACATTTTGATTAATTACGAGTTTCTCGTTGAAAAAATAAATAAATCGATTTGTTAAGATTTATTGTGATTTAGCAATTTTCTATCGGAAACCGATCAAAGAATAGTGTTTTCAGACTAAAGTATCTTAATAGTTTAATAAGCAAGAAAAGTTCTCAACTCAATTTTGTTTAAATCGAAAATAAAGAGAATTCGGTAAGTTTTTTCTTCTTCAACATCGAAAAATTGGCAATAAACAGTGTTCTTTTTATATGAGTTGAATTTTTAACGAAACGAAAGTATCGCTTAGAACGAGAGATCTCACGCTCCCTCCCGCAAAAATCTCCATAAGCTGGAGCTAAGAAATCATTTTTATTCTTGGCGGTACAGATATTCAAACATTGTGAGTCCGGAAGCATACAGATTAGCTGAATTATTGATTGAAATTGATCAAATCGAAGCGTTCGAATGAAAACAAAGTCAGGAAATATCAAAGAATGCAGTTCTGTAACATGATAGATGTGCATTGGAAACCATCCGTAGTGTGCGAACTAAAAATTTTTTGCGACTTTTTCAGTTTCAACTCAATAAAATATTGCGAAATATAATCTACAGTGATGAATTATTCAAGATTTTTTTTCTTCGCGTATGCGTTGGGTGTAAAAACCAGATAGAAAAGAACAAACAACAAAAAAAAACCTGATAAGAATTTCATCTATTTCGAACGTAGCTCAAGTCGATTTCAATCTGAAATCATAATTTTTCATCATCTATTTCACGACGCCAAATAATTGGTGACATTTCAGTCACTTGAAAAAGTCCGCTCAGTAAGTGTTTGGCCGAAAAAAAAAAATCGTAGTTTGAATTTGGAATGTGCACTGTGTTCTTGTTAATTTTATAATAGCACCGCCTTTTGCTATAGATGCTTGGTTTTATGAATAAAGCTAAAATGGGTAATTCATTCGATTTTAATGCAAAACACATCATTGATCGATTATTGGGAAAAATAAAGGAGAGCATTGAACTCAAAAATGAAATATTAATCTGGATCTTCTTTATTTTTCTCTTAAAACATCTAAATTAGCCTAGAATAATTAATACGTTCAAGGAACGTGCAAAAAATCGAAACAAAATAGAAACTAAAAAAAATAGACACAAAGTTCAAAGCTGAATAAACGAACGATGTGATGTAATAAAAAAGTGAGTCGTTACCGATTCCCCGTTCATCTCGGTATGAAAGCAAAATATAGAATAATAATACGCCAGTGTTACAATTTAACATAATCACGACTTCAAGGGCGGCAATGTGTGTTCTCATTAAGCTTGAAATCGACTTGAATCGCATGCTTTCAACGATTCACACGTTCAATGAACCAATTTTTGGAAACCAAAACTCACGATTTACTTGTTATCAATTTTTGTTTTGGTTTTGTTACACGTTCATTCACAAAAGATTAAAATCGGTGAATTTGCGTGCCAAAAAAAATGTTCATTGTTATTGTTGAGTAGAATTATCACTTTTACAAAACGCACAAGCGTATGTTTTACCAAAAGCCGAACATTTATTTTTGGATACACCGTTTTGCTGAACGTCGTATGAATGTTATGAGTATTTTACGCAGTGCTATACATCTGTAGCGTAGTACGCGTGTAAACAGCGTGAAATTTCAAATGAAAAAATGATTAAAGATAAGAAAAAAGAAGGTGCACATAGTTTTGAATTGAGAGAACGAGTGGAGCGATTGTGATAAGTTTCATAGCATCCAAATTTACTACTGTTTGGTATCTCTATCTCTAATCCATATAGTTTAAGTAAAAAAAAACACATCCTCGAGCACATTTTCATCTAAAAGTGTGACTACTGCTCAAAATCTGATTATTATATCACGATGATTATCTCTAGATTTAAATCGGTATATGCTTGATAAATGCTTGCTCGGGAGCGTACCAGCAATATGGATATTTTGGAGCTAATTGAGCATGAGCAACATCAATCGCAGGAACAACCGTCTACAAATCACCACGTTCGATTCCTGCCCACAACACAACAAATCCTAGGTGCGCTCCCGCCTTACCTTTAAGTTTGTATGTGTGTGCGTGTGTGAGTTTTGTTTTCGTTTTTGTAAAATGTTTACCATTTGGATATAAATTACAGTGCACACTGCACAGTTATCACTCTAGATCAAGAAATAATAATAATAATTTCGTTATTGTATTCGACGTTATTGTAAACCGCGTCGTACACGCTCTCACACTTCATTGATGATTTTTTCACAAATCGGTTGTCAATGATCGTTCACAATTTTCTCTTTAACAAGTTTAAAAGAGAAAACATTCAAATTATAAATTTGGTTTTTTTTTCATTTCCAGAGATGACGATACAAACGAAGCGCATGACTTTGGATCCAAGGGATGTGCTAAAAGTTGAACGACCATTCTATGAACAACAACAAATCAACAATGAATTAAACTACTCGAAGCCCGATAATGATGAACGAAAAGGCTACACACAATGGTTATGCAATATTAAACCGATCAATATTTGCCTCAGCATTTTTCCAATATTCGCATGGTTGTCAACGTATAACATAAAAAATGATTTAATTGGTGATATTATAAGCGGTTGCACAGTTGCAATAATGCACATACCACAAGGTACTTTTGAGTTTTTTCATTCCCATTTTTTATTCGTTGAATTTCACAAATTATTTCGTTGGACATATATATAGGAATGGGCTATGCAATGTTGGCAAATGTACCCGCAATCAATGGAATTTATACAGCATTTTTCCCCGTTTTAGTCTATTTCATTTTTGGCACATCAAAACATAATTCAATGGGCACTTTTGCGGTGGTATCAATTATGGTTGGCAAAACAGTTTTAAAGTATTCACACGAAGTGCCCACATTTTATCCGGCCGACAATGGCACCATCACCCATACAGATGAAATGTATATGGTCGAAAACTCGTATAAACCAATGCAAGTGGTTACATCATTATGTCTGGTCATTGGTTGTATTCAAGTGAGTAATTTTCATGTACTTTTTTTGTGGAACAAGTGTAATTTCGTCCTGGTTTTTTTTTGTTGCAGATTGCAATGTATGTTTTAAGATTGGGCATAATATCAACTTTATTGTCCGAAACCCTGGTATCGGGCTTCACAACGGGCGCCGCAATTCATGTGTTCACATCACAAGTGAAAGATCTTCTTGGCATTACATTAAAAGGTGGCGGCGATGGAAACTTTAAAATAATTTTGGTATGAATTTTTGTTTTGGTAAACGTTTTAAAGAATTATCTTTATAATCTCTTGCTCTTTTCATCAAACAGAATTACATTGAAATATCGGAAAATTGGTCAAATATAAATTGGACGGCTGTGAAAATATCTGTGGTGACGATAACAATATTATATTTGAATAATGAATTGCTCAAACCGAAATTGAGTAAAATTTGCATTTTGCCGGTGCCAATCGAATTGATAGCCGTTGTGGCTGGTACACTACTATCAAATTACATGGACTTATCAACAAACTATCAAATTAAAACCATCGGTGAAATTCCGACAGGATTTCCAGGTTTTACATTTTTCATTTCTAATTTCATTCGAGAACCAAAAAGCCAGAAATTTGCTGTTCACTTAATATCCACTTAATTAACATAGAACACTTAACAAGGTGCCCACACCATATTGAATGTGCCCACACCATTCATTTCGCTTCGAATTATCAGTGGCTGCTAAGTTTTCAGCACATTCTTTGTAGCATTGAAACGAAATTATACGTATTTTCGGGGCTTAAAAATTACATTTTCTTTTCAGATTTTGAATTGCCAGACTTGAGCCTATCGAAGCAATTGCTTGTAGATGGTTTCATCATATCGATGGTGTCATACACTGTGTCCGTATCGATGGCACTGATTTTTGCACAGAAGTTAAACTATGAAATCGATTTTAATCAGGAGTTATTGGCTATGGGCGCTTCAAATGTATGAAACATTTATTTTGAATTGTAAAAACTAATCTTATTTTCAATTAATTTCAAACGACATGTTTCTTTTGAAAGGTATGTGGTTCATTTTTCTCGTGTTTACCATTTTCTGCGTCATTATCCAGATCGGTTATCCAACAATCGACGGGCGGACGAACACAAATTGCATCGATCATTTCATGTGGACTACTAACAATTGTGCTAATGTGGATCGGACCATTCTTTGAACTACTTCCAAGAGTATGTTAACCAAAAAAGCTTTTTTTTACATTTTATCAAGTTTTTTTTTATTACAGTGTGTATTGGCCAGTATTATAGTTATTGCTCTTAAAGGGATGCTTATGCAAATCAAACAATTTGTCGAATTTTGGAAAATGTCTCATTTGGATGCAGCCGTTTGGATGGTGACATTTTTAACTGTAGTCATTGTTGCTATTGATATCGGCCTTTTGGTTGGCATCATTCTTAGTTTGGCTTGTATTTTTATTCGCTCCATGAAACCATATACCTGCCTTTTAGGACACATACCAAAAACTGATCTGTATCTCGATATCACAAGATATAAGGCTGTGAGTATTGAGTATTAGCCTTGACAGAGTTTTTGAAGCGCTGTGTTGAAGCCTATCACCAAAACAATTTTTGGATTGATGCCAAAATTGATCTAATTTTAAAACTTAAAAGGTTACCTTCAATTACCATGCGATCATTTTTAGTTTTTTAATGCTCGATCGAAACCTGGATGGTTTATTGTCGAAAACTACCGAAACCGAATCGAGAAAATGTTTTGGCTCGAACTCGGATCGGGCAAGGTCATTTAGACGAGCTTCGTGCCAATTTTCTCGCCGCTTTGCGACCTCTGACATCTTTCGGGTTTGCAAACACAACTGTCTAAATTTTGGTTTATCATCAAATTGAACTCCCCAAAGCTCAGTGCTTCAGAAACTCTCTTTGTATATTGAAAAAAAAAGAACCTTTCAAATGCTAAATAACGATATTTATTTTAACAGGCAGAAGAGATCAGTGGCTTGAAAATTTTCCACTATTGTGGCAGCTTAAACTTTGCCTCACGAGCTTCATTCAAATCGGAATTGTGTACATTGATACGACTTGACCTTGCAGCGGAAATGCGAAATCATTCAACGAGCGCCCAACAACGATACGAATCAATTTATTTGAAATGCTTAATCATTGATTTCAGTGCACTAAGCTATATCGATCCATCGGGCGTTTCATCGCTGAAACAGCTTATTAATGATTTTAATAAAATTTCAATCAATGTTTATATTTCAAATGCCTCATGTAAGTTAATTGCAACGATTTTGTTTGCTTGCTATTTAGAAGAATCGGAAATGAATAAGTTTTGAACAATATTGCACACAGGTCCAGCATACGATACGATGAAGAGATGTGGCTTACACGAAAAATCAGATGGTTCATTTAATTTCTTTCCAACGATCCATGATGCTGTGCATCAGGCTATGGAAAATATGGCACCAATTAGCGTCATTACCGATACAGCTTAAGAATGAAACCTGTATATCTATTGGGCATTTGTTTCATTTTCAATACGCTTTTTAATTGTACGGATACATATATATATATATCAAATAAACAACACAAAACAATCTGACTTGATTTTTTTTTTTTTGAAGAAATGTAAGCCGCTCACAATAATTGTGCGCACATGACCTTTCGGGAGGATGTTTACGTTTCTATTGTATTCAATACTGACGCACAACAGTGACAGACAATTCATCTCAAAAAAATATCTCTTGTTTCATTAACTATGTGACAAGTATAGATAAGGGAAATAAACGTTTTGTTTGGTGTGTCTCATGTTTTGCGATGTGAATGCTTTGCGTCTCATAATTAGTAATAATAATAAGCTCATCAATGAATGTGTCAGTGTTGCCTAAATTATTACATTTCGTGCTGATGTCGGCTGTAGATTCTGAGTTTGCACTGTACAAAGTAATATCGTTTCTTCATTCATTTTGTAAAAGAAAAAAAGAGAGTGGAATTTGAGGCGAACTGCCCGAATTTTCAGCTGGAGTTTATCTCTAAACATTTTACTTTTCCGCACACACCGAGTGTGTAAGGTGTTGGAATCGGTCGAAAAATTAAGACCTCCTAAAAACATGTTTTGAGCTACTTTGGTTGATAGAGTAAAGTGTCATGCCTGAAGTGAGAAAAAGTCTATGAGAAAAATTCCATTTTTCTTCCAAAAGTCATACTTTATATCTACTTGAACATTCAAAAATATGTTTTGGGGGGGTTTTTTGGCACGAGTAAACCGAATATGACATTAGTTTTGCGATACAAATAAATTTGGACACAATTTTCATACAAAAATTTCAAGAAAATTAGATTTTTGTATGGAAGGCATGCCTGTATGATATCGTAATGATCTGAAACTTGGCACAGGTTATTCTTTTCACACAAAAATAACATTCCGAGAGTTTGACGAAATTCCAATGCATATTAAGGGTACCTCCCCCTTAAACGAACATTTTGTATGGAATTACAAAAAATCACATTTTTTTAGTAATTTTTGTATGAAAAGTAAGTCAGAAATTATTTGTATCGCAAAACTAATGTCAGATTCAGTTTTCTTGTGCATTTAAATTTACTGTAAAAGATATGTAATAAATGTATGTTGTGGATCACAGTGAGGAAAAGTTCATCTTACGAATGTAAGACATTTTATTTTTCTTCATTCTAATTAATTCCGTCTTTATTTTTCTGGCTATTCAAAATTATCGCTAGACTTTGATGATCTTTTTTCTTCGGAAAATTATATTTATTACTAAAAACAATCCGATATTGTATGCAAACATGATATTAAAGCAATGACGGAACTACACGATGATTTGTTGTAGATGCCTTCAAGATAATATTCATATGAACTGACGTACGTAAGTCGAAAATCACGAAATTTAAAACTTTTTCAAAGATAAGATACGAAATGGGTAATTGGAACAGATTTTCAACGTTTTATTCGAGCAACATTTTATGGTCGCTTATTCTACTTAATATCGAAATCTCCCCGAAAATACTTATTCTTGGTACTTTTCAAAATAAGAATACGCTAGTATTGTATGGCAACCATATCACCGTAACCACTCCGATAGAATAGAATCAATTCCGAAAGATTTGTTGATATGGTCATTTAGATTTATATACCATAGAAATGCCTGTATATTTTTAATTTATGACCTTTTATTGGGTAAAATTGTGTCGAGTTCGCCAAAACTGTATATACAAGACTACAATGTAACGTGAACCAAAGAAATTTGAAAAATACAGAACTAATTTAAGTATGAATATTCACGTCGGACTATGCACACAATCAGCCATTTTACGTAGCGTGTAGGAATTTCAATTTAATACGAGAACAATTTTTTGAATCGGCATCGAGACAAATTTTTAGAAGCAATATTGTAAAATTAGACAATTTTTTGATTTAATAATCGGTAGATCAAGTGGTTATTTAGAAATATACTAGCCGGCCTCCGCTCGCTCGGCTAGGCATGTTATTATCATTCCTATCTCTATAGATTTTGACTTTCATAAATTTTGTTCATTCAATATTAATTTCAATTTTAAGTCATGGACCATGATTTCTGACCTCATTTACCGCGTGAAATCGTGTTAGGCCATTATGAACCATCTTATCCGACCTCAATAACCATGTTAAATGATGTTAGACCATTATAACCGTGATAAAACGACGGCCGTTAAACCAACTTCAAAAGTACCTCTCCCCCTAATTTCGGGCCGAGGAATCCGAATTTGACAAATTTTAACAAATTCTGACATCCCCCATACAAATATTTAAAAAATAAAAAACGAACGTGATGGAGTTGTCCAATTTGGTCCAAAACCTCATGGTGACCTAGATCTCGGTCCAAAGTATAAGTGTGCAAAGTTTGGTTAAGATCGGTTGAAAATTGTGGGAGGAGTTAAGGACAAAAGAATGGCATTTCGTTTTTATAATATAGACAATGAACATGTTTCATTGAAAGTGTTATTATAAAATTTGTGTGCTATATTCAGTCTGTGAACAGACGGTGAAATAAATAAATAAAATAATATCTTATTATCTTATCGTTTGCTTATTCCCTGCAAACAAAGTGTTTAGATGTTTCACAGTTTTTACTTCAAATAATGACTAAACAGAAACAAATATTCGAGTACGGTTACTCGCACTTGCGGTGTTAGTAGAGCATTTACCCCTCAAAATGAGTTACGCACTCTATTTTACTCTATTTTTGGTGTTAATTTCATCCAAGTGAACACATCGTAGTGAAAGAAGAGATACATGTTTCATTGCCGCATGCGTTCAACGTACATATGACTACACATGTATCTCTATGTATCTTTCACTACGATGCGTTCACTTGGATGAAATTAACACAAAAAATTGAGTAAAATAGAGTGCGTAACTCATTTTGAGGGGTAGACTCTTTGCTAACACCGCAAATGCGAGTAACCGTACTCGAATATTTATTTCTTTGTATGCATCGATCATATATCTGAAAGGTGAAAGTAAACTTCTACTAGAGATGTTTGCGTCACCCGATTTTTTTGGAAATTTCTCGCAAATTATTAAACTGAAACGTGTAAGAACATTTCAGTTACATTTCGTCAAGCGTAATCGCTCGATATTATATTAATTGTAAAAAGAATGACAATGAAGGTGTTAATATTTGCATTTTTGTGTGTGCTTTTAGCGAAAGGGGAGATTTCTTTTCAATTACCATGGTCGCAAAGAATGATGTTGTCGGAGATTGAGCGTTTCCCTGAAGCATGGATGCTCGACTACAACAAGAAAATAAAATGGAGTTATCCAAGCGGTTTGGTGTTAAAAGGTGCAAAAGAGATCTATGAACGAACGAAAAACATAGTATTCTACGATTATATCAGCGATTTTGGTCAAACAATGGTCAATGAGGACGGCACTATTAAAACCTACGATTTGAAAAAATATAACCTTGATATGCTCAACAATGGAAATGTTTTGTTATATTTATATCCGATCGAAAAGAAGGAAAAATATCTGAAGGCTATACAGCTACTTCGATCTCAAATCCGCGAACATCCGCGAACAAGTGAAGGTGGCTTCTGGCATAAAGAAATGTATCCGAAACAAATGTGGCTGGATGGTCTGTATATGGCAGAGCCTTTTTATGCACATTATACCGAAATGTACAGCAATCGAACGGAGGCTAAAAACGCTTACAACGACATCATTCTACAATTTGATTTGGTTCAAAAACATTTGTTGGATGAAAAAACTGGCCTATTGTATCACGGATGGGAAGAAAGCAGACAAGAGGCCTGGTCTGACAACGAAACCGGACACTCACCGCATTTCTGGGGAAGAGCAATGGGCTGGTACGGAATGGCAATCGTGGATGTTCTGGATTATTTGCCATTTTATCATATCGGAAGGCAGAAATTAATATCATACTTGAACTCTTACGCCCGCGCATTGGTCAAAGTGCAAGACAAGAACACTGGACTTTGGTATCAGATTTTGGACAAAATTGGAGAAAGTGGTAACTACCTCGAAGCTACCGCCTCATCAATGTTTGTGTACACGTTTGCAAAAGCTGTACGAAAAGGTTATTTAACTGCATTCTATAAATATTATGCGAGAAAAGGATACAACGGACTTGTTAAAAATTTAATTAGCGTCGAACCCAATGGACTTGTTAATTTGAATCAGTGTTGTGCTGTGGCTGGTTTGGGCGGAAAACCGTATCGAAACGCTTCTTATGAATATTATGTGAATGAAAAAGTACGTTCCAATGACCCGAAAGGCACCGGCCCCTTTATTCTCGCCAGTTTGGAATTCGAACACGAAAACTGAAACTTTTTTGAAATGAACACCCGTTTGTTAATAAAATCAATAAGCTTTTTCTATATTTGTAATTGATTTTTGTATTTACAATTAAAATGGTTTTCATTTGTACTCTTTTTACCTGTGAAAATTGAATAAAAGACAATAAACAATTTTTTGTGAGCACATTTGATTTGGGTTTGAGAACTTCGATAAATTTGGGCTGACATTTTTTCAATAACCGTTTAACTTGATTTTTCCGAAGAAATACAAATTCCATCCAAATTTCTTTCAATCTACAAATGTGATTAGATATTCAAAAAATGTAACCATTGTTTATATAAAATGATTAATGGCTTATGAAGCGTAGAGACAATGCTTTGCACTGCAGAAATTAATGAATAATTTGCTCGTTGATTGTGTTATTGTCAATATTGCCTATTGAATAATTTCTGATAAAAGGCATTGTTAAAGCAGGTTATATCAATATATTCATGGTCACTGCTCATGGCACATTTCAATCGAATTACACGTTATCAAGTCGTGATGGAATTTACTGTAGATATTATATCCATTTAACAATTCAATTTCACTCTAATTAAAGCAACTTTTTGCATTTTTATTCAATAAAAACAAATGAACTGCCCGAGTATGACATTTGTTTACACACAATATCATTTAATTCACGCTAATGATAGGCTTGAAATTTTTTACATGACCAAAATTTCAAATAGTACACTGTCTATTGAATCATTACATTTGTATAAATTTCTTCAAAATAAATTCTTCTTTGAGAAAATTGGCGATTCACCTGAATGTTTGATTTCAGTAAGATCGACACCACTGATGCTGATTTACACATCTTCTATAAATAGTTTTTTTTTGCAGAATAATCTTTAATATGACGCACTTATGGCTGACGTAAGTTTGGCTTTTATATTTTATAAGAAGAAATAACAGTTCCAATCGGAGGCTATTGTTTTCATTCAATCCTGCAAAGTAATGAGCACAGTTTAACATATGAAACACAATATTATCTGTCTCAACTTTTTGGAAATTTATTTGACTTATCTTCGTATTGTAAACTATGAATTTTTCATTTGTGACCTACAAATACTGAAAATTTGGACAAAAATTAGTAAAACGGCTTCTGATGGAATAGAATCTCTAACTATAACACCACACGTTAAATCAAATATTGACTCGATGTCTGCGATAATTGGTACCGTACAATCCGCAATGTGGTGGTTTTCCAGTATTTCGCCGCTCATTCCAAATATACGCCATTGCTAAGTTTACTTTTAATTCTAATTTTGTACAGATTAATCTTAGTCATTAAGACTTAATGTAATGACAACAACGTGACATAATTATATGTAATTGACGTACGAAATCTTTGCGTATTACATAAAAAAGATACAATAGTTCTAATCAAGTGCTATTATTTCCTTTCAATTGTGTAAAGCAATAGCCTCAGATCAAACACAATGTGAATTCTCTCTTTGTCTGTCACGCATCAATCTTGGATTTGAGTTATCTTATGGTTAGCTGAAAGTGATAAAAGCAAATCAGTCTGACAATCACCAATCTATAGTACGGAGTGGATCGATTCCGAATCGTTTACAATTTTAATTCTGTCGCAGCAACATTATTATTTATTTATTTGTTTAAACCTTTTCATTTTAGTAAATTCATATAAAATTTGTGGAAACAATGTTTCACGTTTTAATCTCGATATTTATAATATTGTCAAGTTTCATTATTTACGGGGAAATACGAAAATGGTTTCTCAAAAGGAAGATGCGAAATATTAAATCGCCGAAGCAATTGCCCATTTTGGGTGTAGCTGGCCGGTTCATCGGAAAGTCAAATGAAGACTTTATAAATATAGTGTTTGATATATTTGACGAAGTGAAATCGACGCCGATTCAAGTGTGGTTGGGTCCATTTTTAGTAATTGGAATATCCGAGCCACAAGATATTCAAACCATATTAACGAGTCCTGACTGCCTGAACAAGCCGTATTTTTATGATCATTTGAAGTGTAAAACGTCGATCGTCGCAACCAATCGTGAAGTATGGAAGCCACATCGTCGTGCACTGAACCCAGCATTTAATTTAAAAATGTTACAAAGTTTTGTGCCTTTGTTGAACCAAAAAACACACGTTCTAATCAAACAGATGGAACCGTTTCTTCAAGAGCCTGGAAATGTATATCGAACGATCTTCATTGGTATGATTGACATGGTTACCAAAACAACAATGGGAACAGAAATGAATTTACAGCTGGACGGACGTGGTGCATTTTTCTACGACACTGTCAAATCAATCATGAATAATATTCAGTATCGACTAACAAGATTTTGGTTTCGATGGGATTTCATGTGGAATATATCGAAAGTAGGGCGTGACGAAAAGATTTCTTTAAAAAACGGTTACGACTTTATCGAAAAATTATATGAAAATAAAGTGAAGGAATTACAGTCGTTGAAATCGCAAGGAATTGACTATTTGGAGGAGGTCAAAGAGAAAAATGAAACAAATATTCTCGAAAAATGCCTGATTTTGGAACAAGAAGGAGTATTCAGTCATGAAAATGTTAGGGATCAAATGCTTGTGATTTTTTTTGCTGGCATTGATACATCATCAATCGCTGTGTTTGCAACTTTACTATTGTTAGCCATGAATCAAAAGCATCAGGATTTGGTGGTGGAGGAACTGCGATCGATTTTCGATTCAGCCGATTCGGATGTGACACAAGACGATTTATCTCGAATGCAGTACTTGGAACGTGTGATTAAAGAAACGCTTCGATTGTTACCACCAGGGCCAATCATTGGCCGAAAATCATCCACTGATATAAAATTATCAAATGGAATTATTCCGCAAGGTGCATTGATTGTAATTAATATCTTCCATTTACATCGGAATCCAAAAGTTTGGGGTGAAAACGCGCTTGAATTTGATCCAGATCGATTTTTACCCGAAAACGTCGCGAAACGACCACCATTTAGTTACATCCCATTTTCAGGAGGAGCCAGAAATTGTATTGGAATGAAATACGCAATGATATCGGCCAAAATCATTCTCGCCCATTTGCTACGAAGATACAAATTCAACACGGATTTGAAGTTTGAGGATATTCGTGTGATCACTCACCTTATACTCGAAATTTCCAATGATAAACCACTTCGAATGGAAGTACGGAACTTTTAACAAAAGTTACATTTTAGAAGATATATCAATTCAAACTTAATCTTAATGCGGCTTAAAATTCAACATTTTATTCAATTTACAATATCAATGCAAATTTTTTGAACTTTTTTCATAGTAAGTAAACTCATTTTTCTTAAATTAAGCTCGTTTTCTTGCAATATTACACAAGCATTTATTTTTAACTTTTTTATTTTTTGTTCATAGTGGAAAGCATCTGTAATCTGTGACCCATCTATAGCAATAGTCGACGCAGTAACTGCACAGAAAGAAAAAAATGTGGTATTTTTAATTCAAGTTTGGTAGATTGAATATAAAATCAATCAACAACGAATTAAATTTACCATTTTTGACATCTGTGAGGCATATTTTTCAAATGTGACTATTTGTTGAATAAGTTTTACCAATTGCTTTTTTGAAATCAATCACATTTGAAAAATATGCCTCAGAGATGTCATAGTCCCAATGTTCATCAACGGAAATTAGATTTATACTTCAATTTGAATTGTGAACTTAACTTGAATAGTAAAAATGTGAAGAAAAAAAAAATATTTTACGTTTTAATTCTCTTTCATTTTACTTGCTTATGATTTAGATGAATCTTTTTTATTGCTGTATTTGATGAGATCAATAAATTCGGACATAAAATGTAGTTTTACGTTTTTAGACAGATTACGGATAAATCAATTTCTTTCACGCAAGCATTGACGTCATCTAATAAAACGAGAAATATCAATTGCAATTAGCGCAATAAAAATCATGAATTGTCTTCGAAATTCAAAGCCGAATGCTTTAAATTGATCCAAATCGCTACCAATGATTAATGCATAAGTGTATAATCTACATATATCGGTGATTATTATGCCGTTGCAACATTGTATTTTTTTCGATATTAACACGTTTTCGATTTAAATTTTTTCTTCGATTATTTGCATCAAACCACATTCATACAATCAGTACGCAACAAAAAATTTTAGTTTCAGTTTATCATTTACTATAGCAGTTAAAAATGAGCGAGAATAAGCATAGCGGACATCGGATGAAAATGGTCAATTAGAAAATAGCGTGTGTTTCGATAGCAAGTTCATCTCTTGCATGGACGCGATCATTGACGACAAATTTCAGTTCAAAAATAACGAAGAAAAGAAATGATCGGTGAACTGTTGGTAGTTAGTTGAATCTTACGGATCTTTACATTTTTAAGGTCTCTACCTTAAGTCTACCTCAAGAATATATCATCGCTTGTGTAGCGTTTTCCTCAGTTTAGATATTCATAATATATATCACTTTAAGGTGAACGATTAATTTAAAGCTACACATAAAAAATGGATAAAATTAGAAAAGAGCAAGGTAAAAATATATTATTCTAAAGGTAGACTTTAGGTAGACTTGATTAGGACTATAAAAACGTGGAGACTAAAAATAGTTTCCGTGTTAGTGAAGCCTAGCGGCAAGTTGAATATACCGAAATATTGATCCATGAATAATTTTTTTCAGGTACACTTTTTTTGTTTTTTTGGTATCAGTGATGGTTTTGCGTTAGCCAGCGTTGTCTTAGCCTCGGTGTATACCAACATTTGGTGTACACCAATCGTTAGCCAGCTAACTGTCTACACTGTCTGTGTGACTGTGTATGATAGTATGCGTGTGAAAACGTCCAATTCTCCTGACGTGTGTTAGTGCTGGCTTACGCATTCGTTAGCCGGTGTACACAGTGATGGCAAATTAGCCAGCTAATGTGCTCATCACTGTTTGGTATACTTAAGGAGACTTTAGGTAGAGTTGAATGAGATGATTGAAAAAAAAATAATTCGACCTCGCTAGCATTTTGAATATACATCCCTAGATTTTTGTGTATATTTAATTGCAGGCATCACATATTCGCTTTATTCCATCAAATTGCAAAACAGTTCAAGGATGGTGCCACTGTAGGCAGCTGTGTGTGTTCGTCTTTTGAGTTTTGATAGTTTGTGTACATTTTCTATATTCAGTATTTCAGCGCTCAAGCCAAAACATACAAACAACGCTACCACTTATTCTGTTCTCGACGCAGCGTACCGCTGTTCCGAATGTGCACAGTTTTTGGCCAGAAAAGCCAATCTGAAGGAACACTGTTTGAGAAAGCATAAAAGAATTAACCGAGACTGAAGTTAATACAATGATTGTAAACGCCACAAAAACATTACGACCACCGAAATCTGGTTCATTCACATGCAATATTTGTGGTGACGTTCTTGCTCGCAAATCAAATCTCAATCATCATATGGCTACAAAACATGGAAACCAATCGAAGGTAAGATTTGAGTGTTTTCTTTTTGGTCAGATGCTGAAACAGAAATAACATTGATAAATTGATGTTGGCCATGAAACGTAACACAAATTTAATATTTAAAATCCATTGATTTCTTCACCGTCTGCGTCAGCATAAATTTTGTCAATGTTTGCAACGATGGCATATTCGGCCATGTCATTGACAAATTCAGTTTGGTGTAGATCAGTACATGGAAGTTCCGGTGAATGCGAAAATATGCTTGGGGGCAAATCGATACAGTTTGCTGAAGAAAATTAATCGCGAAATATTTCAGAAATTCAAACAACAAGCACCTGAACTGACGCAGGAATAGCCAGCTTTTTCTATTTTTAATGTCAAAGTTGTCGATAAATCAATGTCATTCATGTATTGCAATAAAACAATAACCTTAAAAATGGAATAAAAAATCACCGATAAAGCTGTGAATTTGTAATTTATTACTATTTGGTACTTCAATACATCATTCAACAAAAGCTACTTTTGAAATAGAGAACTTTTATCACACAATACTAAACATATTCGTTTTATTCCATCAAATTAATCTGCATTTACGTAAATCACATCTGACTCTCGATATGATCAATGCACAATAATTTCAACTTGAAGAACAAACGATTTTTACGTGAATATCTCGAAGGTTTGTTGGGTTAAATAATTATAATTGGCATTAACATTCGTCAAATAAAAATGTAATTTAGATAATTTTGTTCGATCAATTTACGAGTCTTGTCGTGCAAACAATCTTTAATAGCTCAATCAACCGTTGGCAAATACACGGAAGTTGGATTAGTAGTGGATAATGCACGAATATCTGCAAATAGTTTGATACTCTTACGTTTGTTGTTTAATTTGTACAGTTGTCATGCAACAATGTAGTTTGTCGATTTCAGAGAACCTATACGATAAAATGATTTCAATTTGTTTTCATTCAATTGTTCATTTGCTGTAGGAAAGTTGGGATGAAAATCAAGTTTTTAAATAAGAAGCTTTTCTAATCTTGAATAAACATTTGTTTGGTTTCAAGTGAAAATGAGTGCAGTGCTAGCAACGATTTTGATTATTTCGATTATTTTCATACTATATGGGGAATTACGAAAATGGTTTGTCAAAAGAAAAATACGGAATTTTGAATCACCGAGACAATTGCCCATGTTGGGTGTAGCTGCCCGGTTCATCGGAAAGCCAAATGAAGACATTATAGATATAGTATTTGATATATTTGATGAAGTAAAATCGACGCCGATCCAAGTGTGGTTGGGTCCGTTTTTAATGATTGGCATATCTGAACCGCCAGACATTGAAACCATTTTAACAAGCGATGATTGCCTGAATAAGCCGTATTTTTACGAACACGCGAAATGTAAAACTTCGCTCATCGCAACCAATCGGGAAATTTGGAAGCCACATCGTCGTGCGCTGAACACAGCATTTAATTTGAAAATGTTGCAAAGTTATGTGCCATTATTAAATCACAAATCACGCATTCTAATCGAACAAATGGAGCCGTTTCTTCAAGAGCCAGGTGATATATATCGAATGATCTACATTGGAATGATTGATATGGTTACTAAAACAACAATGGGAACAGAAATGAATTTACAGCTGAACGGACGCGGTGCATATTTATACAACATTGCAAAATTAATCATGAATAATATTCAGTACCGAATCACAAGATTTTGGTTTCGATGGGATTTCATGTGGAATATATCGAAAGTTGGCCACGACGAAAAGATTCCGTTGAAAAATGGCTACGGTTTCATTGATGAATTATATGAAAAAAGAGTGAATGAGTTGCAATCGTTGAAATTGCAAGGAATTGACTATTTAGAGGAAGTCAAAGAGAAGAATGCAACAAATTTTCTCGACAAATGCCTGATTTTGGAACAAGAAGGAGTATTCAGTCATGAAAATGTTTTGGATCAAATGCGTTTGATCGTTTTAGCTGGCATGGATACATCAGCAATAGCTGTATTTGGCACTTTACTATTGTTAGCCATGAATCAAAAGCATCAGGATTTGGTGGTGGAGGAACTGCGATCGATTTTCGATTCAGCCGATTCGGATGTGACACAAGACGATTTATCTCGAATGCAGTACTTGGAACGTGTGATTAAAGAATCACTTCGATTACTCTCACCAACACCATTCATTGTTCGTAAACCATCCGCCAATATTGAATTGGCTAAAGGAATTATTCCTCGAGGTGCATTTGTTGTAATTAATATCTTGCATTTACATCGAAATCCAAAGATTTGGGGTGAAAACGCGCTTGAATTTGATCCAGATCGATTTTTACCCGGAAACATTGCAAAACGACCACCATTTAGTTACATCCCATTTTCAGGCGGAGCCAGAAATTGTATCGCATTAAAATACGCAATGATATCGGCCAAAATCACTATCGCCCATTTGCTGCGGAGATACAAATTCATCACGAATTTGAAGTTTGAGGATATTCGTGTGAAGGCACACCTCGTGTTGGAAGTAATCAATGAAAAACCGCTTCGAATGGAAGAACGTAATTTTTAGAAGGGACACAAATTTATTGTAGTTCGTTTTCATATTCGAAGTTGTATTGCGTCTTATAAAATATATAAAAAACCCAACCAGTCATATTTAAGGTTAATATAGAATTTATAATTTATTTATAATATAAAGATGGTATGGACAAGGGCCAAATAATAAGGAATAAATCTACGTGTTCATTTCCAATCAATTTTATTGTGATTTATTTATAGTGAATTTGGATTAAAAAGAAAATCAAAAAAGCCACACCCTGATTTAAAGCCACACAGAAATTTGAGGAAAAAAACAATATTGATTATGTGTTTGATTTATTGGTCGGACAATATTTTGATGAATTTAAATTTTCTTAAATTTACTCTCTCATATTGCTTCAACTCGATTCAAAATATGTGACATTTAGATGGCTTCAGCCGCTCAAAGAAGCCGTTAAAAGTGGAGTCACCATCGTGATGGAAGAAAAGAGTGATGATTCGGGAATTCTTGGATTGATTAATTGCATCCGATATTCAGCCATCAATTTCCGTGATATGATACTAGAAGATTACCACTTGAAGTACACAACGCAAATAGATTGCAACAACAGTGCGTACTTGGATTAGAATATTCCGAAAATGCAGTTTTTTAATTAACATTTTTGGGTACCTTTACTTGTCACTTCGACTAATTTATGTGGCGAAAGTGTGTCAAGACTTTGCTTACTTTGTTGCATTTTCGAACTATTTTTGAAATGAGGTTTGGATTCTCTTTGGTATAATTGTATTGCAACAATGTATTCTGTTGATATGAAATTGTATTCAAGTTTATTTAATTTTTATTGGTATGGGCCTTAATTTGCATCAATCCATTTTCATTTATATAATCAGTATACAAGAATTCGTGTGGTTTCAGTTGTCCATTTCATCGCTCAACAAATCGGTCGTCTTCAACTTCAAGTAAAAATGAGTGCAGTGCTGGCAACGATTTTGATCATTTCGGTCATTTTTATAATCTACGGAGAAATACGAAAATGGTTTATCAAAAGAAAAATGCGGAATTTTGAATCGCCGAAACAATTGCCCATTTTGGGTGTAGCTGGCCGGGTAATCGGAAAATCAAATGAAGAATTTATAAATATAGTGTTTGATATATTTGACGAAGTGAAATCGACGCCGATTCAAGTGTGGTTTGGTCCATTTTTAGCGATTTTTATATCAGAACCACCAGACATTGAAACCATTTTAACAAGCGATGATTGCCTGAATAAGCCGTATCTTTACGAACACATGAAATGTAAAACGTCGATCATCGCAACCAATCGTGAAGTATGGAAGCCACATCGTCGTGCGCTGAACACAGCATTCAATTTGAAAATTTTACAAAGCTTTGTGTCAATATTTAATCACAAATCGTGCATTATAATCAAACAAATGGAACCGTTTCTTCAAGAACCTGGCGACTTGTATCGAACAATTTTCATTGGAATGATTGATATGATAACCAAAACAACAATGGGAACAGAAATGAACTTACAGTTGAACGGACGTGGTGTAGTTTTGTACGACATTGTAAAATCAGTCATGAATAATATTCAATACCGAATTACAAGATGTTGGCTGCGATGGGATTTCATGTGGAATATATCGAAAGTTGGCCGCGACGAAAAGATTCCATTAAAAAACGGCAACCGTTCCATTGATGAGATATATGAGAAAAAAGTGAATGAATTAAGGTTGTTAAAATCGCAGGGAATTGACTATTTAGAGGAAGCCAAAGAGAAAAATGCAACAAATATTCTCGAAAAATGCCTGATTTTGGAACAAGAAGGAGTATTCAGCCATGAAAATGTTTTGGATCAAATGCGTGTGATCATTCTAGCTGGCATTGATACATCATCAATCACTGTATTTGGCACTCTATTGATGTTGGCCATCAATGAAAAGCATCAGGATTTGGTGGTGGAGGAACTGCGATCGATTTTTGATTCAGCCGATTCGGATGTGACACAAGAAAATTTATCTCGAATGCAGTACTTGGAACGTGTGATTAAAGAAACACTTCGATTGCTGTCACCAGTACCATTTATCATTCGAAAGCCATCCGCCGATATTGAATCGGCCAAAGGAATTATTCCTCGAGGTGCATTTGTTGTAATTAATATTTTGCATTTACATCGGAATCCAAAGATTTGGGGTGAAAACGCGCTTGAATTTGATCCAGATCGATTCTTACCCGAAAACATTGCAAAACGACCACTATTTAGTTACATCCCATTTTCAGGAGGAGCCAGAAATTGTATTGGAATGAAATACGCTATGATGTCGACCAAAATAACTCTCGCCCATATGCTGCGGAGATACAAATTCATCACGAATTTGAAGTTCGAAGATATTCGTTTGAAGACACACCTTGTACTCGAAGTAATCAATGAAAAACCACTTCGAATGGAAGTTCGTAATTTTTAGAAGACACACACACACAAAAAAATTTGCGGTAAAATTTTATGCAAATGCGGTTAATGAGTAGTGTGTGGTTAAATTTAAAGGTAATGCGGTAAAATTTCATCATTTGTCTGTATTAGAATTCACCGCAATTTACCGCATTCATACAAAAATGACCGCACACGCATAAGACTGAGTGTTTGATTTTGAGTCTTATACGTGTGCGGTCATTTTCGTATGAATGCGGTAAATTGCAGTAAATTCTAATACAGAAGTATCCAAATGTCTAAATTTTAACCGCATTTGCATTAAATTTTACCGCAAATTTTTTTGTGTGGCATACTTATTATATATAGCTCATTTTCGTTTCGGTAGTTGCCTTATACAATATAAAAATTCAACCGGTTGCTTTGACACGTTTGTGTATAATTGAATGTGTATTTATGGATCCATTGCATTATTCGTTATTAATAAGGCATGAATGCATTGGTTTATTGTAGATCAAGTGTAATTTAAAAAAAAAAACAATGTGAATTTGGATTAATGTCAAATGAATAAATAATGAATTCCAACAAATATTTCTCTTCAAGTTCATTAATTCAAATACTCTATTAATGAAGAATTCGGATTACTCAACAAAACTTAAGTTAAGTTAAGTTAATTTCGCTTTATTATACTTTGTACTGTTCCATTGAATATTAGAATAATGTCAACTGTTTCCATGAAACAGTGCGGTATATTTCATATAGTGGTTTTCAATTTTTGTCATATCTTGTCTGTGCAGTCAGTAACAACAGAGCTGTGATAATCGGTGCATGTAATTTTCATTACAATCAAAATGGGCGTCGTGATAGCAATAATTTTGATAATTTCCATCATTTTTATTATTTACGGAGAAATTCGAAAATGGTTTACCAAACTAAAACTACGAAATTTCAAATCACCGAAACAATTACCCGTTTTAGGTGTAGCTGCCCGATTCATCGGAAAATCTAGTGACGAATACATAGACATTATATTTAAAGCCATTGATGAGGTAAAACAAACATCTATGAGCCTATGGTTTGGACCAATTTTGATCATTTTAGTTTGTGAACCGCAAGATATTCAAATTCTTCTATCAAGTGATGATTGCCTGAATAAGCCATATTTTTACGACCACGCAAAATGTAAAACCTCGATCATCGCAACCAATCGGGAAATTTGGAAGCCACATCGTCGTGCGCTGAACACAGCATTTAATTTGAAAATGTTGCAAAGTTATGTGCCATTATTAAATCACAAATCGCGCATTCTAGTCAAACAAATGAAACCGTTTCTTCAAGAGCCTGGCAATTTTTATCGAACGATCTTCATTGGAATGATTGATATGATTATTCGAACAACGATGGGAACGGACATGCATTTACAATCGAACGGACGCGGTGCATTTTTATATGACGTTGCTAAGTTAATTATGAATAATATTCAATACCGAATTACAAGATTTTGGCTGCGATGGGATTTCATGTGGAATATATCGAAAGTTGGCCGCGATGAAAAGATTCCATTGAAATACGGTAATCAATTCATTGATGATATATACGAAAAGAAAGTGAAGGAATTACAGTCGTTGAAACCCCAAGTTATTAATTATTTAGAGGAAGCCAAAGAGAAAAATGTAACAAATATTCTCGAAAAATGCCTGATTTTGGAACAAGAAGGAGTATTCAGCCATGAAAATGTTTTGGATCAAATGCGTGTGATCATTCTAGCTGGCATTGATACATCATCCATCACTGTATTTGGTACTCTATTGATGTTGGCCATCAATCAAAAGCACCAAGATTTGGTGGTGGAGGAACTGCGATCGATTTTTGATTCAGCCGATTCGGATGTGACACAAGAAAATTTATCTCGAATGCAGTACTTGGAACGTGTGATTAAAGAATCACTTCGTTTGTTGTCACCAGTACCATTCATTGTTCGTAAACCATCCGCCAATATAGAATTGGCTAAAGGAATTATTCCTCGAGGTGCATTTGTTGTAATTAATATTTTGCATTTACATCGGAATCCAAAGATTTGGGGTGAAAACGCACTTGAATTTGATCCAGATCGATTTTTACCCGAAAACATTGCAAAACGACCACCATTTAGTTACATCCCATTTTCAGGAGGAGCCAGAAATTGTATTGGAATGAAATACGCTATGATATCGGCCAAAATAACTCTCGCCCATTTGCTGCGGAGATACAAATTCATCACGAATTTGAAGTTTGAAGATATTCGTTTGAAGACACACCTTGTACTCGAAGTAATCAATGAAAAACCACTTCGAATGGAAGTTCGTAACTTTTAGAAGGGACATATAGCAATGTTCACAGTGGTCAATTTTCAGAGGGTGGTAAATTATTTTGCAGCAGAGGAACTAAAGTGCAGTTAAATGAATAAATATATTTAAAAATGTATAGTAAAAATGACATGAGAAGTTTTTTTTTTAATTGACAAATTTCATCTTCCCAAATAATAGAACAAATTCGTTTAAAAGTTCAATAAACCAAGCAGAAATTCAAAGATGGCAATAAAAATGATTAATTTTCGAAATTGTCAATCTAAATTTACTCTCTGTTACAAATAGCTCACTTCTGTTCGATAAATTCAGTTTAATTGAAACTGACAATTCCATTGTAACACTTGCTCCGTTAAATATTGACTAAATAAATATAAAATATAAATGTAAAAAATATAAATATAATAATCTGCCATGAATGTGAACCATCTTCCATGACTATATTGATAAACAAGATATATAGACGTATATTATGCGCTCAGTAATATTTTTCATTTCATGGCTTTCTTTTTCATAAATTTTTTCACCGATTTGACGTTTATAGCGAAAATCAACCCAATTTAATTCAAATTGAATATTTCAAATATTCTTCAAACCAACTATGTCGACTACAGTGGACATGACGATTATTTACTACTGTCACCAGTACCATTCCTCGGTAGAAAGCCATCCGCCGATATTGAATTGGTTAAGGGAAAATAAAAAACGATCCCATTTTTGGGCGGAGCCAGAAATTGTACCGCATTTAAATACGCAATGATATCGATCAAAATCACTATCGTCCATTTGTTGCGGAGTTACAAATTCATCACGGATTTGAAGTTTGAGGATATTCGTGTGAAAATACACCTTATGCTCGAAGTAATCAATGAAAAATCACTTCGAGTGTAAGAACGAAATAAAAGTCCATTCGGTCATATCTAAAGCTAATATAGAGTTGATAATTTATTTATTATATAAAGATGGTATGACCAAGGAAGGAATAAATCTACGTGTTCGTTTCCAATCAAATTCATTATAATTTATTCATTTATAATGAATTTGGATTATGTAGAATCCGGACTTGATGTCAGATTTGCAATTTTGTTTCAATTTTTAAACAAATACTTTTTTTGTGTGTGGCAGCTATGTTTCTTTGATATCCGTGAAAGGCCAGAAAGTTGTAAGTTGGTCAAAATTAAAATCAGAAGAGCCACACCCAGATCTAAACACACAAATTTGAGAAGAAAAAATAGATTTTCTTAAATTTAAATTTTCCAATTATTGAATATAAAAGAAAATCTTTACTTATTATTCTGTTGTGTTTACAGAAACAATCGTAACACAACTAATGGTATGACACTAATGGTGTCGTTTCATTTGAAATACTGAACGGGCACATGTATAATTAATCTTTATGTGCGGTTAAAATTAATGTATCCATTTGACATCTAATGTTTAATTGATTTCGTTAAATTATTATTCAAAAGTAAATTCTTAATATACATTGAATGGTGCATTTTAAAACGTATCGTAAAAAGGTAGGTGTAAGGTTGACGAACTTTTCTTTTATTTAAAATTCACATTTTGTCTTTTCTTATTCTATTTTATTTAAGATCGGATCCGCTATATGCAGGTTCAACTGCTTGCAAATATGGTTTCCATTATTTGTGAATATGTTGAAACAATTGGAAGGTTTTACTATATTACCTTAGGGGATAGACACCAATTTCTAGTATATTTAGTTTCATTTAATATGTATTGAGTTTCTTTTAGTTTCTTTTAGTATATAAACAAAAACGCAAATATTCTGCTAGTATTTCTAGTATTGAGCCAAATGAATCGCATTGCCAGTGTGAAGACATTTATACGGAGAACAATAGAAACCATTGTTCTCACTGAACGCAAATATTTTGTTTACAAAAATGTACCGTTAATCTCATCATAAGATGAAAAGTATTGGCATTGTATTTTGTATGGATCGGTCGAAGAATCAATATGAACATTTGTTCTCAAGTAGATTCTAGTATACTTTTAGTTTTCTATAGTAAAAATTTGTGTCTACCCCCTAGGTATTACTTGTAAGTTATGCAATACAATATCGATGTATCGATCACAGTATGCACCTTTTGTTTCATTTGCTTATTTCCTATACGGAACTGCATTTATAATTGTTTGAATATTATTCACTGTTATTTACAAAACAATGATAAATTAATCGAAATAATCATCAAATTGGACGATTCGAATTTATTCAAATCAAAACTTCCAATTATTAATAATTATTCGTTGACACGGTCGTATTTTGCAAAATTGTTTGTTTATCTACAATTATTTAATTATTAAAATTAAGTTTTTGTCTTTTCACATGAGTTCAAGCATTTCGCAATATGCCTACCATGATAGTCAATCGATTTGTTTTTTATTTCGGTATAAATAGAGCAAAGTTATTCTTGAAAAGCAGCTAGTCCATAACGAGCTTCAATCGTATCCGGATTTTGCAATTTTTCGTTGAACAGTTTTGGTGAATTTTTGTTGTTGTTTCAATTCGATAGTGAAAATTGAATAAGTCGGTGCTTGAAAATATGTCGTCGAACATAGATTTATCGTCAATTTCACAAAATGGCAACAATTTATACGAAAAGAATAATGTGCCGAATGGCATCAAATTGGGCCGTATATTTCCATCTTGCCCCGGAGAGGAAATTGTTATAAGTGGCGTTGCTGGACGTTATCCGAATTGTGATAATGTTGAAGAATATCGTCATCATGTGTACAACAAGGTTTTTTATTCAATGTTTGTGTTCAATAATAAACGAAACATGGTTTTGTACACAATTTACTAAACTTTTAGATTGATATGACAACCGAAGATGAATCGCGTTGGAGTAACAGCCTGAGTCATGAATTGCCAAAGCGAAAAGGCGTTTTGAAGGATATTCATAAATTTGACGCCGCATTCTTTGGTATCCACAGTAAGCTAGCCAATAATATGGATCCACAGGGTCGTATAATTATTGAAACTGCTTACGAAGCAATTCTTGATGCTGGCATACATCCAAAATCATTGCGTGACACGAAAACAGGCGTCTTTGTTGCCGTTTGTTTTTCAGAAGCCGAAAAAAATATGATATTCGATCAAATTAGTGGTGATAGCGGTTTGGCTTTGTCTGGGTAAGAATTGTAAAAGTGAAATGTAACGAACTTTCTTTTAAAATAAAATGAAAACACTACTTACGTACTTTGACGTTCACTTTTCTCTCCATTATACATGGAAACAAGAAAAAAAAAATCATTTTTCAATATTCTCTTTTTGTTTTGAAATACAGTTGTAGCCGAGCAATGATTGCAAATCGGTGAGTGTTAATCAGATGGTGAAAAATGCATGGAAATAATAATATATTTGAATATATTTTTAGGATTTCTTATTGCTTGAATCTAACTGGACCATCGTTCACCATCGATACAGCCTGTAGCAGCTCAATGTTTGCACTTGATCAGGCTTTTACGGCACTCAGAAATGGTACATGTGATAATGCCTTGGTTTGTGGCACCAATCTATTATTACACCCGTATACTACGATCAATTTCAACCGATTGGGTGTAATTTCAAAAGATGGTTTCTGCCGACCATTCGATGAAAATGGAGCGGGTTACACACGTTCCGAAGCAGTTTGTTCATTATTTTTACAAAAGTCTCGCGATGCAAAACGTATTTATGCAAAAGTCATCTATTCGGATACAAATTGTGATGGGTAAGCATAATTTCAGCCACTTAACGATTAACGCTTAACCAATTATCTTTTTACTTGTAAACACAGTTTTAAGAACGAAGGTATTCTTCATCCATCGAGTAAAATGCAATACGAATTGATCAATGACTTTTATCAACATTTAAAAATTGAACCGCAAAGGGTATGCTATATCGAGGCTCATGGAACTGGTGAATACTGTGATTTAATATTTATCTATTTGACCAATTACGAATGAGATATATTGTTTTATTTCCATTTATAAAGGAACGAAGGTCGGTGATCCACAAGAGTGCGGAACTATTGATAAAGTCTTTTGTAAAAACCGCAAAGAGCCATTGCTCATTGGTTCGGTCAAATCAAATATGGGTCACACAGAGGGTAGCTCGGGTATTTGTTCCATAACAAAGGTTATTTTAGCTTTTGAATCTGGAATTGTTGCTCCAAATTTGAATTTCGTTAGTGTGAGGAAAGATATTCCCGCCCTTGTGGAAGGTCGTTTGAAAGTGTGCTCGGAATTAACACCACTCTCCGGAAGTTTGGTGGCAGTTTCTTCATTTGGTTTTGGTGGTGCAAATGCGCACGTACTTCTGGAACGATTCGAAAAGGAAAAGGTCAACTTTGGAATGCCAAGTGATTCAGTACCACGATTAGTATTATGGGCAGCGCGGACCAAAGAAGGAGTAGAGAAACTGTTTAATAATCTTGAGACAAAACCACTGGATGCTGAATTTATATCGCTTTTACATAATATTCAAAAGTATGAACAGACTGGATTTCTATATCGAGGATATAGTATTTTAGAAATGAATGATACCAATAACAACGACACAACTGTTCGCAAAAGTTATATGATTGACCGTTACGATGCAACAAAACGACCGATTGTGTGGATGTTTACTGGCATGGGATCACAATGGACTGGAATGGCCACTTCAATGATGCAAATCGACTTGTATCGTGAAACCATTCACAGATGCCATGAAATTTTGAAACCGTACGGTTTGGATTTAATATCAATCGTCACTTCCACCGATGAATCCACATTTGACAACATCATAAATTCATTTGTTGGCATTTCCTCAATTCAAATAGCAATTGTAAACATTCTAAAAGCGCTGCAGATACCACTCGATTACTGTATTGGACACTCTGTTGGCGAACTCGGTGCGTACATAACACATGAAATTGAGTGTACAATGTTATTTATATTTTTTTATTTATAATGAAGGATGTGCCTATGCTGACGGCACCATAACTGCTGAACAAATGCTGGTATCTAATCCTTGTTTTTATTTATTTTTTTTTAAATAAAATTGAATTAAAGTTTAACCGCAAATTCTGGCACTTATAAATAAAAATAATAATTTTTTACTAAAATTAATTTTAATAGCTTTCTTCGTACGCACGTGGATTAGCTAGTGTCGAAACGAAAGTTACTTGTGGATCGATGGCCGCTGTTGGACTGAGCTACGAAGAAGTCAAAGACATGCTACCGGAAGGCATTGAAGTTGCATGTCACAACAGCTGTAATTGATTAATTTTTTTGTCAAATTTAAGACCAAAGCATTTTATCAATTTAATTTTTCAATAATTGAAGGTAATTCGGCGACGTTGTCGGGACCAAAGGAAGATGTTTCTCAGTTTGTTGCAAAACTAACTGCAGACGGTGTATTCGCCAGAGAAGTGGCCTGTTCCAATATTCCATATCATTCAAAGTACATTGCCGAAATGGGACCAAAATTGTTGGCTCATCTAAAAGAAATCATTCCGTTGCCAAAACGACGTTCGGATAAGTGGATTAGTTCGAGCGTTCCCAAAGATGAGTGGAATCAAGAGAAAAATCAATTCAGCTCCGCCGAATATCATACAAATAACTTGTTGAATCCAGTGCTATTCGAAGAGGCAGCTAAAAATTTGCCAGAAGATGCAATCACCATCGAAATTTCACCACACGGCTTACTCCAGGCCATTATCAAAAAATGTTTGCCGAATGGCGTTCATGTTCCATTAACAAATCGAGCAAATAAGGATAATCAATGCATTTTCTTTTTATCCTCGTTAGGAAAGTAAGTGCAAATAATTTGTGTTCAATATAATGAGATTACATTTCATGTATTTGCAAATTTCAACAAATAGACTCTTTATGAATGGTGTTTCAATGCATGTGGAGCATTTATATCCAGCCATAAGCTATCCGGTTTCGCGCGGAACACAAATGATATCGCCGATGATTCTATGGGATCACAGTCAAGATTGGTTTACCAGCGAATTCAATGAAAAGGCAATGAAAACATCATGTGAACGTAAAATAATTTTGAATTTAGATGATGATGATGATGTCAAATATATGACTGGCCATATTATCGATGGTAGGTTCTATCTACCACATAATGAAATATTTGCTTATGCAATGTAGTGTCATTTAATTTTAGGACGATGCCTTCTACCTGCCACTTCTTATTTACACTTTGTTCGAGAGAGTATAGTGTCAATGATGACAAGTAAAACCTTTAATAATTTGGATATTGAATTCGAGAATGTTAGGTTCCTTCGAGCTACATCGCTTGTACCAAGTACTTTAGTACACCTAACGGTTATGGTGCAGGCAGGAACCGGAAATTTTGAAATAAGCGAAGGTGATACCGCTGTTATTAGCGGTAAAGTAAAAGCCCTAACAAATGGCGAACCAATAAAGGACCTCTCTCAATTAATAAAATCAGATCATTCGATTGTTTTGGATAGCAAAGATTTCTATAAGGAGCTTCGTCTGCGTGGTTACCATTATGCCGGTATATTTAAATCTGTCACTGAAATTCGAGGCGATGGAACTCTTGGAATGATTAAGTGGAATGATAATTGGCCAGCATTCATGGATTGCATGTTGCAAGTCGGCATCCTTGCAATCGACTCACGATCGCTTTATTTACCGACGAGCATTCGTAAGATTTGTATTAACACCGCCAAGCACTTAAAAGCCGTTGAACAATTGGATCCCGAAAATCCCGTAATGGAGGTGAGAATGTGCAAGGAGCTTGGCATTGTTACATGTGGTGGAATCGAAATCGAAGGTCTTGTTTGTAGTTCAGTTAGCCGTCGTAAAGCACCGGGCACTGAAGTTTTGGAGTCATATCAATTCATCCCATTCAATAATGACTCAATTCAATACTCTACCGATGAAGCGGCCTCAATTGCAATGCAAATCGCTTTGGAAAATTTAATGCAATATAAAATTAAGATCGTTGAAGTCGATGCAAATGAACCGGAACGACAGACATTGATTCAAGCATTTGACGAAGCAATCGTTAACATTCCATTGTTGGTGGCCGATTTAACGCTATTGCGTAAAGACAAACTTGAAATTGATCATGTTAAAGTGGAAGACGGAGAACTTAAAAATGAAACCAATTGCCAATTAATTATCGGGTCAAAGTGGCTAAATAACAATGAGATGATTGCACAAGCAGAGGCCAGTTTGACTGACAAAGGGTTCTTACTTTTGCGCGAAGAAAGTACGATTCGATGGAACGAGGTTGAACGACCCGAAGGCTTCAATATGATCTCACTTATCAGAATTCCAGACGAGACTCTCATACTGCTTCAACGCAATCAACCGGAAACCAGCAAAACCATTATTAATATCGATTCAAAAGATGTGGCATTCAAATGGCTTCAACCGCTCAAAGAAGCCGTTAAAAGTGGGGTCACCATCGCGTTGGAAGAAAAGAGTGATGATTCGGGAATTCTTGGATTGATTAATTGCATTCGACGCGAACCAGGAGGGAATATGGTTCGATGTGTGTTGATCGATGACAAATCAGCACCACAATTCGATCTCAACGATCCATTGTATGGCGACCAAATGAAACTTGACTTGGCCGTCAATGTGTATAGAAATGGTCAATGGGGTGCATATCGACATCTCACACTCAAAAAAGACATCGAAGAAAAGGAACGAAATGAACACTTTTATGCCAATTTGACACGAATTGGTGACTTATCAACATTTGAATGGATGACTGGTTGGATCGATGCAAACAAATCAAAAAATCTCATTAATATCCAATATTCAGCCATCAATTTCCGTGATGTAATGCTTGCAACTGGAAGATTACCACTCGAAGTTCACAGCACAAATAGATTGCATCAACAGTGCGTACTTGGATTAGAATATTCAGGAACTAATAAGGCTGGAGAGAGGCTAATGGGTATGGTTGCAATCGGAGCTATGGCCACACAAACTGGTATGGTGTTAAAAAAAAATACGCTCTTGTGACATGTTTTGACAGAATATTATTTTTACAGAATATTTTGAAAATTTAACTTGGAAGGTTCCAGCAAAGATGTCACTGCGTGACGCGGCCACAATTCCAGTAGTATATGCAACGATTTATTATGCATTCTTCTTTTATAAACCGATCTCAGGTGGAAAGTCCATTCTCATTCATGCCGGCAGTGGTGGCATTGGCCTGGCAGCTATTCGAATTGCATTGGCATATGGAATGGAGGTGTACACCACTTGCTCGACAGAGCAAAAGAAACAATTTATACTGGATCAGTATCCACAGATTAAAGGTAAAACATTGATAGTTTCATTATTCATTTAAAATTGAATTTAGAAACACTTAGTTACAATTTTATACATAAAATTTACAGAAGAGAACATTGGAAATTCGAGAGATTGTTCATTTGAGCAGATGATAATGATTCGTACAAAGGGCAAGGGAGTTGATTACGTGTTAAACTCATTGGCTGAAGATAAGCTAGCAGCGTCGGTTCGGTGTTTGGGCAGGGCCGGAGTATTTCTGGAAATTGGAAAGTTCGACATTATGAACAACAGCAATTTAGCAATGGGAACATTTGCCAAAGAAATTCAATTTCGTGCCGTTTTCGCCGATAATTTGATCCATTACCCTAAAGAACGCGAAATTTTATTCAAAATGATTGAGAAAGATCTGGAAAGTGGTTTGATTCAACCGCTTCATTCTACCGTGTTCCAGGCGAACGAAGTTGAAAAAGCGTTCCGTTATCTCAGCACTGGCAAACATGTTGGCAAGGTTTTAATTCAAATTCGAGAAAATGAAAACTCGAAATTGTCAAGCCCAATGAGAGTATTTTCAAGAGCATACTGTGATCCTCAAATGGTTTATATAATCGCCGGTGGTTTGGGCGGTTTCGGTTTGGAATTGGCCGATTGGCTCATTTTAAGAGGTTGTAGGAAACTCGTGCTCAGCTCACGTACTGGCGTAAAAAATGGATACCAAGCTTATCGAATCAAGTATGTGTTTAATCATATTTTTTCAATTAAAAAAACAGGTCGAATGTAATTTTATTTCAGAACATGGGAGTCATACGGGTGTAAAATTATAATTAGTACGGCTGATATAACGACACATCAAGGATGTAAAAATCTCATTGTTGAATCACTCGTTCACGGTGCAGTTGGTGGTATTTTTAATTTGGCAGTGATCTTGCGTGACAGCATTTTTGAAAATCAAAGCGGTGACACGTTCTTTGAATCGTTTGGGCCAAAGGTGTTTGCCACACGATATCTGGATGAGCTATCACGAGTTTTGTGTCAACAACTGCACTACTTTGTTTTATTTTCGAGTGCATCGTGTGGGCGCGGCAATGCCGGCCAAACGAATTACGGTATGGCAAATTCGATTATGGAACGAATTATTGAGAAACGTGTTAGAGACAATTTACCTGGAAAGGCTATTCAATGGGTAATCAAAAATAAAAATGTTTTAAAATCATGAATATAAAATGAATGAATGCATCTTATAAATTTCAGGGTGCCGTTGGTGAAGTTGGGCTCGTTGCCCAGATGGCCGAGGACAAAATCGATCTTGAAATTGCCGGAACTGTACAACAACGCATCGCTGCCTGTCTCAATGTAATGGACAGACTTTTATCATCAAAGAAGCCGGTGGTTTCAAGCATGGTCGTGGCTCAAAAGCATGCTATCAGCAAAATGAACCTGATTCAAAGTGTACTACACATTATGGGAATTCAGGATATAAAGTCCGTATCAATGAATTCTACATTGGCTGAGCTTGGTAAGATACTTTTCAGCAACTCCATCATAGGTGTTGCCTCTAAAGATTTTGTAAGGGGTAAAGGATTTTCTTAAATACCAAGTTTTGAATTTTCCAAATTATTTATTTCAAAGGTATGGATAGTTTAATGGCAGTTGAAATCAAACAAGTGCTGGAACGTGAATTTGATGTTATTTTAACAGCCCAAGATTTACGAACTCTAACATTTGCAAAACTTCAAGAGTTCACTGATTCTGGAAAGAGGGGCGAACTATCAAGCATAAATAATGTGTCCACAAAAGAAACGAACATAGAAAAAAATATTTTGCTACGCAGCTTGGGCAATGAACAAACGGCCGATAAAATCATATTGCCATTGTATGAGACCGATACAACGAAGGAGAACGATGTCTATGCGCTTTTTATTCCTGGAATCGAAGGTGTTATCAGTCCAGTTTTACAATCATTATGCAAGAGCATCAAAGTACCTATTTATGCACTTCAATTGCATGCCCACTGCAAAGAGGAATCATTTTCAAATCTGATTGCGTCCATTTCAAAGGCAAGTTACGCAAATTGGAGTCTGTTTTGATTTAATTTTGAAATATTGTTTCATACACAGGATGTGCTGAATTTATTCAATGGCAAAAAGAGATTCATCCTTATCGGTCATTCGTTTGGTGGATTGGTTGCACTTTCATTGGCACGAATACTTGAACAAAGTGGATTAACTGGTGATGTCATCGTTGCAGATGGTTCGGTGTCTCTATTTAAACGATTCCTCAAGGCATTGCTACCGAACATGGATCCAAGTATCGAAATTGTTGAGAACTTTTTACAGACCCAATTGGTGTACGAAATTCTACCTGAAATCAATTCAGACGAAATTCAAAAAATAATACATGGAGAGAAAACATTTGATGGTCGAATGGATAAGTTCTTGAGCCAAATGAAAAAACACGAATATTCGACTGAATACCTCAAGAATATAGCATATGGACTTAAAAATCGCATTCGAATGGTATTGCAAGAGAATGAGGAATACGTCGGCGATAAAATCAAATCGAATATCACATTGATTTGTCCCACGGCTAAATTAGTTGTTGATATTGACAACGATTATCAACTCACTCAATACACAAACGGTCGCATGTTTGTTCATACGATCGAAGGCAGCCATTTAACTATGTTGGATAATGTGCAACTATATGAAATCATCAATGATATCTGCATGAACGAAAAACATTGTTAATTCAATCACACATAATCATAAATTTGCTAGATTTTCAATCGCGGTTATATTTGTTCTTATTAAATGGAGAGGTAAATGTAAAATTAAGTACGTGGATTTTGGTTGTAGGAATGGAAGTTATTTCTAAATAAAATCACATAAATAAATAGTCAAAATGCAGTTTTTTAATTAAGAATTTTGGGTACCTTCACTTGACACGTTGATTTGTGTAATAAAATTTGAATTTCGATAATTGTACGGGTGGGGCAATCAATTTTAATGAAATGTTCAGACAAATCTATTTGGTTTTGCGAAATTCCCAGCCATCTCTCCGATCATATATATCAGATGAGATACCCTCTATATTTTCCCCAATATTCAATCCAAATATTATTTAAACTTGTATAATTTTGTACATAGAACAAGATCTTAAGAAAAAAGAAGAAAACCTTTCAAATATTTAATAAAACAAAAATACTTTGCTATATTCATTCAACGCTTCAACACTTAAACAAAAACAAAGGAATGTTATTTACCACAAAATACCTTTTAGTTTATCTAAACAACAAAAGATCATTAAACGATAATTTTCCGATTACAATATTACTGAACGTAAAATAGAATTGGAAAATATTCAATTTGAATCATATCCATTCATTTTGATTTAAGAGTGCTGATAATTGACTTAACTTAAGAATGAACAATTGATTTGACTTAAGTGGATTCTAGCACTTTGGCTGAAATTTTAATTCATTTCTTCTTGCACATGAAACAAATATAACTATCGAATACTACGGATAGAAGCATCGATAAACTCTACCATTTACCAAGCTTGACTGCTTCGCATATCTGCTGAAGTTGTGTATCTTCTGGTGTTTCTCCATGTTCTGCAACCAAATGCTTTACTTCTTCAACAATGTTACCCAGAAACTCGGCACGATTTGCATTTGGTCCTATTCCTGCTGCTAAACCATCATTTTTCACATCCATAAAATTAAATTGGTCCGCTTTACTTGAGCGTTCAATCGGTTTAAATTGCTCAATCGGTTCACCATTATGTATAGGATTTCTGGATTTTTTCAAAACGTGAATTATACATGTAATGGAATGAAGTTCAAATTATATTTTTTATTACCCGTATTTGACAAAATTATAAAACAGTGTTTGCATATTTTTCAATGCTTTAAAGGCAATCGAAGCATTCTCGTCACTGTCTTTATTCGCATTTATTTGTTGGTAGTATTCGTTAAATTGACGACACCTTAAAAATATTTAGTTATTAGAATCAGAATGCAATAACAATACACTTCAAACTCACCGGAATAAGTAGCAATATTCGTCAGCATGAGCACCTGCCTGCAAAAGTTTATGTGGATTCAGTTTGGTGGAAAGTGAAAATCTAAATAAAACAAATACATTTCAGTCAATTTAAATTCACTTAAGTTTACAAAATGAAACTAACCGAGAGTAAAATGTATCTTTAGTAGAGACGGAAACGAGTTGCTCCATCCACTTTTCAACGAAATACACATATTTTACATCTGAGTCCAAGTGAAGTCGTTGTATGAACCGGTCATGATCATTGGTCGCATTGTCAAAATAAAATTTACGGATTTTTCTCCATACATTGTCAAGATAGTCAGGCTGAAATCGAAGAGGTATCATTAGTAGACTAATATCGTAATATTCATCAAAATACCTTTTTTAAAAGTGTTTCATTGTATCCGAAAATTGGCAAATTGGTGTAAAAGTCTTTCAAAAATGCGTCTATAACTTCTGGATTTGAATAACCATTTGTGCGATCGGTAAACCTCAGTTGTTCCTAATTAGAGTGGAAGAGAGACAGAGATAGCAAAAGATAATTGATTATGTTAGCTATGATTTAAATGTAAACCAAGTGCAACTTACATATTGAGCGGAGGTAAAATATGAGGATTTGTTGACTTCTTTTGTTTTCATCAATTTTGTTAGTGGATCTTCAAGGAGAAATGGCTGTTTCGCAGTTGATTCTAAATACCAAGGATTAGATAGTAATTAAAGTTTAGATATTAAATTGTATTATTTACTTACTTTCAATGACTGGATTCCAAGCAGTAATTACTCCATCAGGACCACCAACAGCTTCTTGATTGAAATCAAGAATGTCATTAACATCTGCATTTTCGAGGAACTCAATCAATTGCTCATCACTTGGACGGCTTGAGTTATTGTGCTTTTCGTAAAAATATTCAATCAGACATCTATGATCACCATCCAAAGTATTGATATTGTTTGCTGTTGCACTTATAGTTATTTGTTGATTGAAATATTTTGACGAATTTTCGTTGAGTAAATGCAAACCAAGAGCCTTTCCACCTTTAATTCGGAAACAGAAAATTCAACTCCTTTCAGTAATTTTGCCAAAAAAAGTAATGATCAATTAATATATTTTTCTATGAGAAATCACCCAATGAAAATACCTGATATAAAACCGATAATAGTAATCTTGTTATTGTCACCGCCGAAAGCACCAATATTTTCATGAATCCATTTCATGGCCATTTGTTGATCTTTCATTCCCATATTTCCCGACTGTTCGGGTAAGCCCAACGACATAAAACCAAATATTCCAACTCGATAGTTCAGCGTTACCAGGATTATTTCATTTTCGATGACAAAATCTGACCAAATATATGTGAGCGATACGAAAACATGAATCGTGAAAAAACATTGAAATTTGAATGGTGAAATAAAAAATTCACTATTTAAATACCTGGACCATAAAGCGCATCATCACCAGATCCGCCTGCAAATAGGCCACCGGGAAGAACGAGTAGGACTGGCAACCTTTTTGTTTCATTTGCGTTGGCTAGAATGATTAAGGAGAAGTTTTTGTTATTAGCTTATATTTTATTTATGAAAACGAATCTCACCTGGAACAAATACGTTCAAATTGAGGCAATCTGTAAAAAAGAAAAAAAAATGACGATTACATTACTTACATGAGTCTAAACAAACACTCTTACCTTCCGTTACTGCAGAAAATTGGAAACCACCTTTGTTCAATCTTTGGGCACATTTATTACCATATTCAAATGCGTCAATCTGTTTTGGCCACGATGCCACTGATTGGGGTGCCTATAAAATTAATTTTATAAATATCATACATCGTTTCTAGTGTGTTAGCTTAGATAAAACAGTTTCATAATGGGCATACAAAAAAGTCGATTCATTTTACAGTCCAAGCCGTATTGTCGTTAATTTTTGATGAATTTAAATTTTGTTGAAAGAAAAAATCTACATTCTTTCTAGTTAGTTGAATAGAAAATTTGGCATTTTAAATATCGTGTTCGAAGGATTGTCGTTCTGAGCAATAAAAAAACGAAGATCAAACTGAATTTTGATTACATCATATTTTTGTTTGAGTATATGAAGTCAAACCGCATTTGAATTCCATGAAAACCATTCCTTTTCAATATGTACTTCATAGGTCATACTCAAAATATCTGTAAAACTCACTGCACGGCTCAGCACAATTTCGCTTTTAATTAGGGCATATAGAAATGTGTCTTTTGGATTAAGCAAACACATTTTATTACAAGCACGTGATAACAAATAAGTAAAGCATTCAAATCAGTTTGGGAATGGCAAATATTTGATCTTAAAAGCACTATGGTATCTAATTACCTAGACTTATCTCGATATGTTAACAAAGACGAAATTAAAATACTAAACGATCAAACCAAATAAAATACTCAATTCATACCTTGAAGCGAAGTTTACCAATTGGTGCTTGGGCGTATGGTATTCCCTTAAAGGAATAAAATGGTGTTTCTAGCCAAATGGTTTTCTCCAGTTGACCTCTAATTAGGGTTGTTTGGGTTTTTATCGTTTTGTACGAATTTTGGCCATTCACTATTGACACAGTTATGGCAAACCAGAGAAAAATGCTTAATGGCAGCATTCTCAATGAACAAATTGATATTTATTGGCCAATGAAATGAACTATATATTTCCACCTCAATCTTTTCACTTCCACTGATGGATTTGCAGATCAAATTAACACTTTTATCTAATGAATACTGGTTTGTATTATTTTTCATTTCATTTGTCTCTAAGAAAGTTTAATATTATCTCTTCGCAATCTAGTCAATCGTCTAATTATTATGACAATCTGTGTGTCGTTCGTTATCTGTGCTGCTGTTCACATAAACTAATCTCGTAAAACAAATAAACGACATAGAAAAAATAATTTAACCTTCTAGAAGTTTCTGTAGGAATCCAGTTTCGATCAACACCACCCAAATTATTTAAATGATAAATTCAATCATAGTAGTTATTAACAAGTTTTGGTTGAAAGTTATCCAAAGTCAATCGGGTGAAACGTTTGCATTTTTGGCACTGGGTCTCCTTTCACGACGTGCAGCTGAAATCGATACAACACAAATAATTGGTTTTCGAGATAACATCGAAGAAAAAAACCGTTTCTGAGAGCAATATATTTACATAGGAACTGGAGGTGAACTGAGATTCAAAACTCCTCCTTAAAGAGAAGCAAAATATTAACAGTGAGAATAAAAACGGTTTTAATATTTTGCTTTACACTGAGGAAGAGCTCTTCTTACATCAATTGCTCTGAGAAACAGTCTATGGCCACTATCGAAAAATGTGTGGTTGTTATACGCATTCTCGTATAAGAATGTCGTTGATAGCGATCGCATTAAGTTACATACATTATTATTCAGGAAGCGGCACCTATAGACAAAATCGAATGAAACAAATTCAAATTCTTGCAAAGAAAAATTTACAATCCAAAATGAATTTCGATTTATCATTTTCAAAGTGAACGCATTGAAGACCAAAACAAATTATAATATGCGATGAATTTTAATTTTTTGGCATAAAAGATTTATAGAAGAAAAAAACTAAACTCCTTTGAAATAAAAATTTTATAAATTGTTAATTTTCCCCTTACAACAATATATTTATATAAAAACGCACGCATTTTTGTTGATGTTTTTTTGACAATTTGGTTGATTTATTCAATATTAATTGACGAAATGTGTTTTCCATGGAAATTTATTCTTCCAATCACTTGCTATCATCGGCTTTGGCATGTTTACCTCTTGGGGTGTTCATCTTGATACAAGGTGGATCTGAAATTAAAACAAACGATTTCAAGAACAAAAGAAAAGAAAATACGAAAGATTGGTTTTAAGAGAATATTCAATTAAAGATAAACTAGAATAATAATGTTAATTTACACAAATCTCGGGTTTCGGTTACACCATATTTCGTACGGATAATTCATGGTGTAACATCCATAACTGTGACATGTTTGTTTTAGCAACATAGTAATGTCATCATATTTAGAGCCACAATTGGAGCATTGATAGTATGCGTGCCAACGATCGTCCGACATAGTTTTCCTTTCTTTAATTTTCTTTGAATTGGGCTGAGCAAAAATTTATCTTGAATGCTATGAATAATGACTAATTTCGTACTGCATGAGATTTTATACACAACGATTGTGCTCAAAACTGCAAGCGTACTTATTTTGAAAAGAAATTACTTAGTGCATTTTGTCGCGAAATTTTATTTAAACGAAATATAAACAACTGGTTGAGACTGTGCCAAGTGGTATAATTGACAATTCAACAAAATTAATCTAAATAAAGATTTGCGATTGCATTCTTCTTGCCAAAAAAAGATCCATTATAAATATCTGATTTCCACTTTCGACCAATTTGCGTTCGTTTTAATCCAATTCTACGAATTTGCGCACTACAACAATTATTCTACAGTATTTGGATGGAAGAGGTAAATAGAAAAATGTGGATAAAATGAGCTGCTTATCAAATTGGTGGTTATTTGAGTAGAGCAATGATTATTATGTTAAAATGTATTGTGATTTATCATTTTAAAATTGATTGCATCTCATTTTCTGAAGACGATGACAAAATTTTTGAGCAAGCCAAGAATCAGCGATATCTTACAATCTGTCAAAGATTTGTTTGAATAAATTTCCGTCGAACAAACGTTAAACAACACACGCACTGATTATAAACATTTTAAATGACTCATTTCGTAGAATAACTGAGAAATATAAAAATTGATTTCAGAATATTCCGTAGTCACAAAAAATAAAAAATAAAAATATAGCTTTTCTTACATCACGCACTGGATAGTTGATCGTTCCACATCCAATGCATGCAACTGGCTTATTTGGTTGGCGATTCATTGGCTTGTATTTATTGCCACAACGGCATTCGTAGAATGCGTGCCAACGTTCTTTTACCACTTTTGGCATTCTTTATTTTTATTGCTGAAATTAATTGAAAAAAAATTTGAACGCTTTATATTCGACGATCGGAATGTATTGAGATTAAATAAAGTTGTTATATTGTATCGTATGCTTGTAACACCGCGTCAAATGTCTAGAGCTAAGTGATTTCCACAGAACAAACGTCAAAATCGTACAGCGTCCGTCGCTCAATCAATGTTTGAAATGTATTATGTTTATAACTAAAATAAATATTCGATGAGAATAAAAATGCTTTTGCATTCATTTTATTTTCTTTTTTCCAGAACTGTAAACATTTATAAACGATGTGTATGAAGTAACGGTGTTGACTCTATTATATATTTTCCTTGTTTAATTGTTTATTTTCTCCGTGAAGCTAAAAATGAGTTTGATATTACTGAAGTACAACTACAACAATCCATGATAGAACAAATTTTATATAAAAGAAAATATGGAGTTAACGAAGAATGAATCTAAATTGCATTTAAACTGTATTTCAATCATATTCTTCAGAGCAATATTTGCGTTACCTAAAATTTTCCCTAAAAATGTTTAAAAAAATGTTTTTAAAGATTCAGTATTGTTTTAAAATGGTCAATAATTTTATCATATAATTCATCTTCTTTGGCTGCAATAACACAGTCGTGATTGCCAAACAAGTGAAAAACCATGAAATTTTCTGGATGGTCCGGAATGCTTTTGATGCCGTATTTAAGTTTGAGTGCAGTACAGACCAATTCAACCTTCTTCATGCTTGTGATATCAGTGGAGCCCTGCAAAATCTTTTTGGCTTCATCACGATCGACTTTGGGCAATTGCAGAAAGTATTTGTGTCTATTGAAGATGTGTGGAGCCCAATACTGGAGTTTTCCATCCTTCGATTTTACGAGATCTAGAAATTTGGGCGTGGTGTCAGCATCAGAACTAGTGGCACCACCTAAAGTGCTGGCGATTTCTTTTTGTTCCTCGTTTTGTTCAAAAGTTTGAATGAGCTCGATCATTGCAACAGCGGCCTTTTGTTTTGCTTCCACTTTGCTTGAATATGTTCCAGTGCGCTTTATTGTTGACAATTGACAAATGTAAGTAAAAGACGGCGTATTTGTTGCACCACATGATTGAAACTCCTTAAATCTAAAAGAACCGATGACACAAATATGAATAACCGAATTTGATTTGGGCATTTTAAAAATCCCGTACGTTGGAAGTGGCAATTGGCGCTGCACACAAATGTCGCGCAAATGCATGACAGCATCTCTGGTGGTTACTGGTTTCTTTGCTTCTGGTATTGCTTGAACTTCGTCTTTAAATTGTTCTTTTGTTTTTAGCTTATCTGTAATCGAATGAAAATTGCCCGTATCATTCGATTTTGAAAAAAATAACGAAATACTTACCGAGTAGATTGGCGCAGGCTTCTTGCCTCGCTAATTTTTTTGACCGAGCAGAGCCTCGGGAAGTTAAATTAAATGCAGTGCAAATGCAAGAGAACATTTTTGGATCGCTTTCGTGTGGAACCATATCAAAATAAGGAGTATGAACTCCGTGCTGCGAACACAATTTATGTAATAGATCTGCCGGAGTGCCTGACATAATTTTTGATTATCTTAATGATAGTTTTTTAATTGAATTTTTTAATACTTCGAACGATTGAATAAAGTGTTCTACAATAATGCGATGACATGAAATTTTTAGCAAATTCAATGCGGAATAACAGTTTATAACCAAAAAATACGATGTATAAGCAAATTTGCAACACGTTTTACCAATGTTACTCACCGACAGAGAAACGTCAACACGAACTAATTTCAAAAACAAAACATCGGCTTTCATTATTTAAATTCACATATTCTCGCTGTATGGATGGCGACGATCAAAAACTGAGATGATAATTTAACATGTTGCAGACATCTGCAATCAAATTCTACGATATTATTGTGCGATGTCATAAGAAAATATTTTTTTTCTTTTATATTCAAGCAGTTTGGTTTTATTTTACGAACATACTTACATAAAGATGTACGGATCTGTGTGAAAATATACGAAAACAGTACACAACACAAAAGTTAACCTTTAGCTGTATGCGCGCAATGGTTTTCGTCTGTATTAACACAGTTCTGCACGACCCTGTCCATATCTACATAAGTCCGAATTTCAACCATTTTTGGGAAGACTGACTATTAAAATAAAAACAACTAATAAAATTGTAACATAAATATGGGACGCATTGGAGATATTTATAAAACAAGACTGTTTTTGCTTAGAAAAAAGAAAATTAGAGCAGCTGATTGCAGTGACATGCTTTTTATGTCCCAATGTGAATCATTTTTATTGGTTCAATTATATTTCTTTGCAAAAGTAAAAGAAATGCTTACGCTTCAATATGCAATTCCATTGTTTACTTCGGATACAAAACGCCTTTGTTCAAAAACGTCAAATAAAAAAAAAACTATGCGTAGTTCAATTTTTGATCTAGTAGCCTTTATTTCACATCATGTGGACCACATTAGCAGTTTGGTGTTTTAATATGACAGGAAATTTGTTTGAGAAACAAAATTGCATACGGCAAAAATATATAGGAAATTCTTAATATTCAAAATTTCAATAACTCTTAACGCATTTTGAAGGTGATATCCAAATATACAGAAGTTATTTCAATCACATTTGTCTAAGACAAAATTTTTTTTTTTTTTTTTTTTTTTTTCAAAATTAAAACTCGTGAAGGTTCAGCATCGTTTTGAAGTGATCAATGACTTTATTGTACAAGTCTTCTTCTTTGGCTGCAATCACACAGTCATGATCGTTAAGCAAATGAAAAGACTTGAACTGTTGTTGATGATTCGGAATGCTTGAGATGGCGTATTTGAGTTTGAGTGCAGCACATGCCAAGTCAACCCGATCTTTGGTGGTGCCATGGATAACCGTTGAATCGTCCATCAAAATTTCTTTGGCTTCATTGCGATCCTCTTCAGGCAACCGAAGAAAGAAATTGTGTCGATCGCTAATTCGTATGGCCCGTGATTGTACCGGTACTTTTTTCGCCTCGTGATAGTCACGGAATATCTTTTCGGGTGGTTCTGAAACGACGGTCTCAATTTGATTCTGTTCTTTGTTCAGATCCAGATTTTGAATGACTTCGAGCATTTCACGAGCAGCGATTTGTCTTGCACCGCTTTTTGTCGAATATATACCGATGCGTTGAATTTTTGACACTCGACAAACACAAGTGAATATCGGAGAATGAGATTCACCCGTTTTTTTTACGTCAAATCTGAAAAATAAATGAGAGTACTATGAGCATCTATTTCAAGTTTGAATTAATGTTAGTAATTCATACGTGGCAACCGGCCAATTACGCTGCACACAAGTATCAAGCAAAATTGATATTGCATCATAATCGAATACTGGACGTGGTGTTTCCGGCACCTTTTGAAGAGTCTGTCTGAATCGATCCTTACCTATTAGTTGAGCTGCATTACAAACATACGATATAATGTACCAAATATCTATTAAAAACATTTCGAAAGTTCATACCAATAAGATTTGCGCTTGCATCGTGTTTTGCTTCTTGTTTTGATTGACCTGAACCTCTGGCAACCACATCAAATGCGCTGACAAGGCAAGAGAACATTTTTCGATCGGTTTCGGCTGGAAGACATTCGTAAGTTACCACTTCATTTTCCATGGTGCACAATTCTTGCAATTGAGCCACCGGTGTTTTTTCCATTATTTCCCGTTTTCTTTTCAGCGATGCATCTATGGATGACATATTTTTTGTCTGGGAATTTCACGACAGTAATAAATTGCTTCAATAAAACTTTTGTATTCTTTGTCAATTAAATGTCGACGAACAATCCAACGTTCTTTTTCGTTGGGAGTCAACTGAATTTCACAACAAGTTGTTTATATTGTGAAATAGATACTGACTAATATTGTATATCGTATACTGTCAATGCAAAGCGAACTGTCAATGTCAGTAGTTTCTGCTGAACGTAAACCACAATCAATCACACACATTGATGCAATAACTACTTAGCAAATACATGTGAACGTTGCAACGTTTTGTATTCTTTCTTTGAATAAACAAAGAAAATTATATACGTCTTAGTTTCATGCATGTTTTTAGAATGTATTCTTACTCTTGTGTGACTGTCTAATGTGCCTCCATCCGTAATTTGAGTTTTTGTAGAGAAAATCCAAAAAATAAAGTATTGGAGCACAACAAAAAAACAAAACTGGATTGATTAATTGGGCAAGAGAGTTTTTTAATTTTAAAAACAAAAGTATTTTGAATTCTAATTATTTGAATTACACACATTTTCTTTTATCAATCATAACTTTTCCATTTTCTGTAAAAAATAGTATTTTTATTTCAAAAACAAACAAAAATATGTCGCAAAGAAAATAAATATTTACACAATTACAAAAAAAATAGAAATACCATTTATTATTTCTACAAAGTCTAAACAAGTAATTTGTGAGACATTTCAATTAATACTACAAAATAAATTTAAATTCCGCGTTTAACTGGCCGTGGTTGCAAAAGAACCTTAACAGGCTTGCAGAGTTCCAGTTCGTGTCCGGGTCTTACTGATAAACATAGCGACACATCGACTTGACATTGTTCCGTCCACACAACGTGTGACAATAGTAGGTTCGTTCGAAGGCGCCAATTATTTGCTAAATTGAAAAACAAAATCGATAAATACCAAAAGTTAATTATAATATCGAAATATTTGAAGTTTTAATTTTCTACTCACTGTTTTCGCCATTCTCAGAAATGATGCGTTTTAAATCTCGCATTCGGGGCATCATCAAGTGAACATTTTGATCTGGATATTTAACTCTCATGCGCAAATTCAAACGTTGACTATCTCGCAAATTATCAATTTCACCCAAAAATGGTACGGCTGCAATGAGGCCGGCCGACACTTTGGTGGCGGGAAGTTCACTTACGTCGGTCGATGATGGATCCAAAATACGAGCGGTACAAATTTGTATCTGTAAGAAAAAAATCCAAATCAAATCAAAATATTTCTGAAGATGAAAATTGTTGTTTATCGGTGCCACAGCGGTATCTTACATTAATATTAATTTCGGGTGATGCAACTGGAGAAGCGGTTTGAACGATTGGTAAAATTTCACGAAATACCCGGCCCGGTTTGGGATCGTTCATGCTTGATATTTGATTTAATATAGATGTGGTGAATGCATCGGCTCGCATGTTTGGATTTTCCGTTAAAAATTGATTTGTATCGGATGCAATTTGTAAAAGTAGTTGACATGGTGCCAATGCACTCTGCGATCGATCTTTCACAATCAATACCAGATGCAATGCACTGGCCCGCAAGCTAATCTGTTTCACCATTAGCAAATCGTTTGGTGTCAGCGATGAGAAAAGATTTTGTAATTTAAGGCATTTTTTCATCAATTGATTGAGAGATTCTTTGGATGGTGGTCGACTTGTTGGCATTGTCAAACACGATTGCAATTGTTCAATCAATAGTTGAGCGCCCAAAAATGTGGCCGTATAGTTTGCTGTGCCCGATAACTCTGGATCAATTGTAGCCAATCGATCTAAATTGTCTTGAGCGGCGGTGAGCAGTGCTTGACGTGCCCGCGGTGCTGAATACGATGCTCGAATATTATTCAATATAGTTTCGAGAAATTGACGAGATCCAGTCGATCCTTCGGTGAGCTTCAATTCGGTTGATGTTCCACCGATTGGCAATGCAGGCACTAAATTTGGCATCGTATCACGTAAATAGGAATAATGCTTTATTGTTATTTCTGGCAAAAGACCGAGAGCTGGCGGTAGCTTTTGTGCAGCATTAAAAATCATTATCAAAATGCACACATCTGTAAAGAAAAATGAACGAAATTCATTTGAAATTTAATTGCAGTTGCATATTAAATGTATATAAAGTCAAGAAAACAAATCACATACACGCTGGATCTTCAACATCCTTTTCGGCGCTATCGAAAAATGGATGATCTTGCAACAGTTGTGTTACCAATGACATACAAATTTCTGGATGCTTTGCACCAATTCGCTGCATACATCCAAATGCCGAAAATTTATCTTGCGGATATTTTGATAGCACGTCCAATACTTTTTGGACAACCATTAATAAACAATTTTGCGTTGATACTCGGCATACACCCAACATTACATGTAAACTTTCACGTACTTCAACTGAATAATCCTAAAAAAGGCAATTCGAAATTTTTGTTTTGAACATTAATGTTTGTTTTTGTCCGATTTTCGTTTGAATTTTCATGAAAACTTACTTCGAGTGAGCTCAACATGGTTTCCAATTGATCTTCGCGTAATGTAATGTGCTTTGAAATGGCCGTTAAACTATCGATGGCTTTAAGTCGAACACCTTCTATTTCATCATTGAACATATCAACCAAAAAGTCCAAACTCATTACGGCAAATTTTGGATTTGATAATGCCAATTTGCACAGCGAATCGACGGCCGCCGTACGCACCTCAAGAAATTCATCTTCCAAGCCATGCACAAGTGCACCACATGCTCCAGATGCCATAAGTGATACGGTTGATGCATTTATTTGCTCTTTCGGTGCATCGTCTGCCCATTTTTTACCCGACGACCACTCACCACTTTGAAATAATTCGGTATATCGTTCATGCAAACTCTTTTTGCGCCGTAAATTACTCATTAATTTTTTATCAAGTGTTTGATGCAAAAATTCATGACTAACAGCGGTCATGCCGCCAAGCAAACCGGCAGCCTGCGTCCGAACTTGCATCGATAAATCACAAATGGCTGAACAAATATGTCCAAAGGCTGCATCAGCCAAACGTAGCTTTGAATCCGAGTCGGGCACATCAACCATACTATAAATATACAAATCAATTAGTAATTTATTTTGTTTTGTCCGAGGCTCACACTCAAAAGAAAACAAATAGCTTACAATTCAGTGTGTTTGATACCAAGCTCATATACCAATCGTAATGCTTCCTTTCTCACACATTCATAGTCGTCTTTCAGCGATTCGACGGCACGAAAATAGAGACGTGGCGGTAGATATGCGCCTCGTTGTCCAAGTGTTAGAATTGAATCAAATGCCTGGGCTCGAACGCGTGAATCTTGCGAATCGGTGTATCGGCTTATCAAATCAAGTGATTCTTTTTCAGCTTCGCGCAATTGCAAAAATGCTCCAAGCAATGTTAAGGCATGCCGTTGCACATTGTGACTGGCATTTGTCAATTGTAATTTTGCAAATAAAACGATTCGAATCAGTGTCGTTAATGGCAATTGCTGTGTATCACCAATTTTGAAAAGACTATGTAAACCCTGTGAAATTACTTTGGGCGATGTTTCGCCTTTTAACAACAGAATCACTTCATCGACTAAACTTGTGCCATCGTGTAACGCTTCCGATGCCAACTCACCGAATAGAGACAATACCTGTAATTTTTTCAACACATTTCATTTTACGTCCCATTCAGTGTTTAACGAAATTTATTTACCTTCACTCGGACTGCCGACTCTTTTTCCCGTTTAAAGTGTTCGCATAGCTTTTTCAGCGATTCAACAATATCATCAGCCGTATTATTGGTCAAAGTATCCGACATTTGCGTTAGAATTTGTAATGCATCATTGCTGTTTGTCGTTTTTTCCAATAGATTTGATAGAATTTGTATTGATGGACCGGCACTACTGGTCGAACGCTTTGCAGTTATGCGTAGTTTCTTATGCGGTCGATGCTGATTCGACTGTGGATAATGGTAATCAAACGTATATCGTTTATTTAGTAGAAAATCAAAATGGTTGCAATGAAATTGTGAAATTAAACTTACCTCTACTGTTGTTATAGTCTCCGTAATTTTTCGCTTTTGTACATGCGGCATTTTTATGTTTATTTTTATTTAACAATTCAAATGATTTAATGAAATTTTGTATGTTATTCATGCATTTTACAACATGTATTTGTCAGCATTTGACACAAACATTAACTGAGCAAACCCAACCGAACGAAACGTCATTGTTGCGGTTATCATATAAATACTACTTATGACAACTTTGGCATCCCTATTGGTAAAAATGTCGTCGACTACACCTTTTGAACGTATTTTTGATTCATTTGATAAACTTTTAGATCGATGGATATTATTATTGGAATTGAAAGAATGATGAATTAAAATTGAAGTTTTTTTTTAAAATGGCAATCAATTTTTGAATTTCAAAGAAAATTTAATCTTTAAGAAATATCAGTGGATCGCTCTGAATGAATTTTATGCGGTCATGATAGCGAAAAAATGTGAAAAAATACCAAACTACACATAATTTTCTTCGGTTTCAAAAGGTCAAATAAAAATTCAGTCACAAATGTGACCAAATGTGAAAAATTCAGACCAAAATCATATACATTTACGTAGGAAATTGATTTGCATCGAAAGTTTTCTGATTGGCGCCGCAGAAGTCAAAAGAAAAAGAAAAACTGTACTTCCGTGATGCCTAAAACAGAAATTTTTGTTTCGATTTCTATTGTTTTTTCTAGTAAAAAATAAAACCAAATTTATTTATTTATTTTTTTATTGAACATTTTGATAATAGTTTTTTTTTGTTAAACAATGGTGAAATTAGTGAGATTGTAATTTATCGATTAAATTTCCTTCAGCCCAATGTTTTATTTCTTACCAAATGGAATATATTAAATTAACTCAAATGTCAATATTCACTGTTGTTTCTCTAACTTGTGTTTAAATAGAATTATTGTAACAAATATTTTTTTTTGTTCGCTAGAATATATTGTTTCATAGTCCCTTGCAATAAATTCTTTGCAATAGTAATTTAGAATTTTTTTTTTACAAGAAACTGAAGAGTATGTAGTAAAGTGGTACGACAAGTGCAACTTGGGCGGTTGTGCATCCAATTATTTTGGCGGTCAACCACCAAAGCAAACCGTACAATGACAATTGCAAGATAACATGCAATGCCAAGAGTATTTTATCTTTGCGACGTGCGGCTTCCATTGTTTTTGGATCTTCCTTGCTCAGATAACGACGAACACCATTGATCAAATTGATGAAGTACACTTCCCATTCGAGCGTTGTTAAATCGATGTTGTATAATTTTTTGTCCATTAATGATTGTGTCTTGATCACCGCTTTCGTATTACTATTATGGAATTTCCATTCGGTGAAAATGAATTTTTCAAGTAATTTCAATGAGCTCCAGACATTTTTGTGCAATCGCACAAGGATTGGACGGCCACCAGCCACCCGTGTAACACCGTCAAGTACATAGGCTGGCGCAAAATGGAAGAGAATGGCCGATATTTTGAATAAAAACAAACTTGACATAAACTTCAAGTTGGGATACCTGCGAAAAAAATCAAATCAATTAATGATAGAAAATTACAACAAATTCAATAAATTATTAACATTTTCTTTAAATATATCACATTTCTTACCAAACTGCACTTTTCAATGGGTATTTATGCAAGTAACCATTGATTTTATCTTGAACACCCTCCCATTTGAACGGCTGTGTTGTACTCGATGTACAATGGAAAATTTGCACTTCATTTTCTCGCTTTGCATTTACGTAGTAACCAGTGACGAGCACTTGATTAACAACAACATCAACCGGAATGTAATCATAAATGAGGCCGGATCCAATGGGCAAACGACGAATGACTCCCTTTGATGCGCCCATTAGAAAACCTTGAGGTCCATTCTTTGAAATCGTCCAGCCGGGAACCGGTTCCTTCCAAGCGCCAGTAACTAGAAAAAAATTAACCAATGTTAACGAAACTCTAGAGAAAAACCGAATTTGGAATTAATATGTGATACTCACTCATGCTTGGTCGAACGATACCACATGGGAATTTATCGACACATTGTGCCACTTCGTGTTCAGCTAAATGTTTTGTAAATGTATAGGTGTTTGGATGTTCACCCAAAATACTATCTTGTTTTGATTTCAATTCATCCTCACTGAGTGTATTGATCATTTCGATGATTGTTTCGGCTTTGGCCGGTGCTGGATACAAATTCTCTTCACACTCAACCAAATATGAGTTAACATACGCACTTGAAACATGCACAAATGCAGCCAAATTTCGGATTTCTTTCGCCAATTGTGTGACACGACGTGTTCCAAGCAAATTAATGTTGACTGTTGGCTTCAATGGCTCATGAAAATCCAATGTGGCCGCTGAATGGATGATTACATTCACATTGTTGACGAGTACTTGACGATCGGCAGCCGAAATGCCCAAATTTTCCAATCCAACATCACCCTGCACCGGAACCAACTTCTTGAAAATATCCTTCGATTGCTCTTTCAGCAAAACTTCAAACACCTTAATTCGCAATAAAAGAAGAGAAATCACGAAATTAGCCAAGTTTTTTATGATTTTAGAATAATTGATTTACCTCATTTTTTATTAGATCTTGCAAACGTTGCTCCACTGTCTTTCCACGCTTTTCTCTCATCAACAAATAAATTTTTGTAACCTAAAAACAAAATAAACAAATAAATACTTTTTTTGATCGATTTTGCGGCGAGTATTGTCTGAGGTCGAACTACATGCCAATTGAATGAAGAAAAAAAAAATGTTCAAAAATAGAACATGCCATTTGGGAAAAAAAATAGTTAATTACCTCGGGTGTGGTTCGCAATAATTTTTCAATCAATGCAATCCCCAAAAATCCAGTACCACCGGTGATGAATATGCTTTTGTTTTTATAAAATTCTGCCGTCTCTGACGCCATAATCGTTGTTGAATTTTTTTTTATTTATTGCGGTGAATTGGAAATTAAATGTTGAACAGAAGACTCAAATTCCAAAAGTCTCTAGCCTAAAAATAGAACGAAAACATATTCATTTTGAGTTAAAAACATACTTCGAGTTAAGAGTTAAGACAAAGAATGAAAGAAATTAACAAAGAAAAAAAAACAATTGAGGAACTCTCATTAAGTGATTTTGATTCTTGCGAAATATGTTCACAATTTGAACAATGACGATATTAGTTGATCTTTATCAAATGGATTGACGTACTGTTTGCTATACCAATCATTACTGTATGTGAAGCATTTTAATACTCGAATCGCTCATGCTCACTTTTTTGTCATCAGATTGTTAATCGCATTACAAGAAATTTAATTAGCCGCTAATCATCCTTTGGGTGAAAGGGCTCAACTTTAATTTTCAAAGACGCAAAAAAGTGGTGAAACATTGCATCATTTTCTGTATTTGTCCAATTGCTGCGCTTTCGCAAATCGTTTTTTCTCATTTTATTGGGACAGGGTACGCATCACACACCAATATGGTAATATTGCATGCAAACCATGATAATAAAAAACAGAAGAATATGATTGTGAATATCAACAACGCATTACACTAGCGTAAAGTTGATTTGCGATCAACGTTTTCTAATTTATGGGCGAGTCATTCAAAAACTCTCTATACACTGATGATTTTGCTCAGCTTTGAATTGATTTGCAATATACAAGTAGCCAAAGTTTAAATGATCACAAGAAGAAAAAGAAGCGGATGAACACACAAAAAATTGGTTTTGATTTGTATACTAACTAGTATGCGAAGTTATTTTAATCACTTCAACTTTTGATTACTTCACGAACTGCAGCAAAACAAAAAGAAAAAGGAACCGAAACAATTTATGAGCTTGTTTCATTTTTTGTTATTATGCAAATTTACAAACGAGATATGAACCAAAAATAGAAAATGAGATTGGTAAAATATCAAGGGTATATAAAAATCATCACAAGCTTAGGTCTTTTGTTTTATTTTGTTTTTTATTCTAGTTACATTAAACGGAGGTGCAAAGATTACAATGTTAAAATTGCTCAATGATTCAATAATAATAATAATAATAGTATTTTTGTTGATTTGTTCACAATCACAGTTGCACGGCGCTCAGGTGATCTGACTACTCACATCTCTTTTCATCATTATCTTCTTAATGATGATATTTCAAGCCGTATATTTGATTGCGCTATAGATATACATATTGGAATATTTGTTTTGCCTTTCCAATGAATAAAAATATAAAACTTGCTATATAATTGATGTAATAGTACTACTGGTCAACATACGTCAATATATTGCAGCTGAATCGATGTTGAAAGTATGTGTGCGTGTATGTGTGTGTATTTTTTTAACATAAATTTGATATGAAATTGCAGTACGTTATGCGTGATATGTGTTATATCAGTGTACACTTATACAAGGTAATTCTTTTTTTGTTTTTATTCGCATAACATTGCGCACGCAACTCACAGCATGAGAAGAAATTCTTTGCAAAAACAAACAACCAACCGAATCGCAGCACAAAACTATGCTAAAATGTGCTTACATTTATGATATAGCAAACAATGAACTGTTGACATTATTTGTGACGTGTCCGTTGTTTAGTAGTGCGTAGTTACTTATCTACCTGCGCTCATGTGTATTGTCTGATTTACATGTTTCTCTCATTCAACAAATGCAATTACAGAGATGAAATCTCCACACACTTACTGTACAAAGTTACTGAAAAAGGTCTATTTCGTCTCTATAAATGATAAATCTCTCGAATTTACTTGACTATTTCGATATATTATCATCGCACGATGACGACAAACATTTTTTTTTTTTGAACAACAAACAATGCTACTGAATTAAATAAAATAAGAAACAAAAAATATTACCAATGACTTGGTTTTTTTTAAATATTCGTCTTTTGTAGCTTTTCTTTTGAATGATTACGCAATATTTTCACCGAGATCAAAATAGTGCTCGATTATTAATTGAAGGAATATAATGACGTGAAAAAGTAGGAATAAAATGCAAAACACAAAAACACCACCAAAGCACATCATCGACGTGAAGCGACTGATCGCTGAACGCAAAAACTTAGCCAGATACAACTATGGATATGTTAGAATTTCAACTCAACTTTGCATGTTTTCAGACAACGACTGGCCGGTGACAAAATATGAAAAATCAGGTGACGCATTTTATGGTAAAAAAGAAAACAATTAAGCAGTGGATTTGGAAAATGAATTACACTTCTGTGGCATTGATATTTAATTTGTCTGCTGTCACTGTGACTGGCGATTGTCAAAAGGAAGTCTTACAGCAATAACCATAAGAATACCTAATTAACGAGACTTATATCTTGTACAAGTTACCTTTTAATTTGCAACAGTCCTAATCTATATAATAAATTTTGGAAGTGCAACATTGAAATCATTAAGAACTGAATGCAGTCGTCTGCAATGCGAATAACGACTTTTTCTCTAATGTCAATTGGAACATAGTTTTTTTTAACCAATTAACTGATATTCGATTCTAATTCATATAATTCCATATTTCGATTGGATTGGGAACAATTTTGTGCTTGTGTGTGTGTCTTTTTCGATATTGGGCTACGTGATCAAAATTCAAGTGACAATCACTTTCTTAAGACATTGGCTGTTTTTTGTTTCTTTATTTAATTCATTCACGGTAGCATATGTGCTGCCCATAATTTCCATATAACCATGTGTGCGTGGTTCAAAGTTTGTTCATTTTCGGGCAAAAGAAATGAGAGTGATGTAAATCATAGTAGCAATAAAATGACTCTGGTCGCGATTAGAAAGTTGTTAACGACTATAAAAAAATATACGAAAATTTCTATATATATACATTCAAAGAAGGGGACGTTTCAAAATTAACGCTTAGATGTGAATGAGATGAAAGTGTGGCCAAAAATGTCGATTTTTTTTGTTGTTGTTTTTTCTTTCGTCGCTACATAAATAAAGCATATGCTAAATATATTTGGTCATTTGAAAGAGCGAAGAAGAAAGGGTTACGCATGTATTTGTGACAGTTTGTGAGAGAAAAAATCGATAAAGAGTGCTAACAGCTAAAATTTCGTTATAATAGTGCGCGCAAATGATTAACATGCTTAGAAGTGTAATTACTGAACAAAATCGATTGGCAAAAAGATCAGAAACCTAAAAATAAATGTAATAGTAAAATGACCTTTGGTCATGATCAATTCTGATCATGTCATTTTATTCTTTGGCCAAAGAAGGCAACAACTACAAAAACAACACGAAAGATGTCCGTGCACATAATGGACAAGATGTTGTCATGCCAGCTATGTCCGACTACGTTTTTTTTCTGAATTGGATTAACAATACTGGAATTCTACGTGTGTTGCTGTTGTTTCAAGAACATGTTAAACACACTAATACATAGTCGTTGCTTTTTTGCGTGTATCAAAAACGATCGCATTTATCGACATTCAGGAATTAAGATCTACGTAGATAAGACGATCGACAATGCTTGAATTGATCTAACGAACTACTATGGTGAGTTGTGACATCTTATTCCAATAACGAATTTAAGCGCTAATTGTACAAAATTACATACGGCGTATTACAATCATGAGAAATTCAAACGATGCTTTTTTGTGTTTCAATGAAAAATAAACATCTCAAAGCAATAAAGAACCTTTTCAAATATTGTTTGTGATTTGAATGTTTACTTTGATTATGCTGCAGTTTATATTTATTTACGCAATAAATAGAAATTTTCTCTTCTCATTGCTATAAATGACATGCGCATTTGGCAAACCAAATAAAGATTGAAAATTGAATGGAAATACTTTACAAACCAAATTACTGTTTGCATGTCAAGAATTTTGTTGCAAGAAAATGGAACGGAGTGAAGAAAGGGAGAGAGCGGGAATAATGAGAGAAACGACTCAATAGTTATGACAAACAATGACTTAATTTGCGTACATGCATTCAAATCAATTCAACAACAGGAGCGACGCAAATTGCATTTCGGCGTTAAAATGTTGTGGCGACAAAATTTATGACTCATGTGAAATTGCGTATGATGTTTTTTCGCATCATTTTTTTCGCAAATAATGAGAATTACGTGATATAAAATATATAAGCCGTTTTATCAACAAAAAAAAAACTCGCTCCGACAATTGTCCATTCACTAGTTCTTCATGCAACGCCTGATATTACCTAATTGTGAATGCATTTCACCTGTTATTTCACTTCGTTTGTGATGCGAACGGTTATCCAAGTATTAAACAATTAAACTTGAAAAATACCACGAGGTTGTGAAGTTGTTGTTTTTTTTTTATTTCTTTGTACTGTTAATTATTGGCTTGATGAATTTCATTTCGTTGTATGCCAAATCCGGTTCCATCTTTCGGCATTCGAAAATCGTTTTGAACCAATCTGCCAGAACTACTTTCACGCTGTACGATAATTTGCAACTTCTTCTTCTCAAATAAATGCTACTCTAGCACATTGAATGAGCAAAGATTTTATCATGTGTCACGTCAGCACAACATTTTTCGCTCGTGATCAATGAAAAACAAGAAAAACTCTTATCATGTAAAACAAAAGATCTTCAAAAATCAAAAAATATCGTCAAATATAGAAATTGGCGGATGATAAACAACAATTTGTTAAAAAAAAAAAATACAAACCTGTGGGATCGAAACCGAATTCGAATGAATGAAATTAAATCCAAATTATGTGACAAACAATAAAGGTGTGTACAAACACGAACTGGATAAATAATATTTAAAAACAAATTGCACAATGGTTTTTTATATTTTCTTTCGAAAATGATAAATACAGTGTATTTTCCGTCGTCTCAAAATGAATCTGTAAGCAGATAGATCACGCCTCAAACCGAATGACGAAAAAAAAATGTAAAAAAAATTGTTTGTATGATTTTTGTGTTGTTGTCGCAAGACCGATTTCACACGACTGACAGACAATTTCAAATGTACCACGGTGATTGTGTTGTTGAAACGATGTTTTATTCAAACATCGATGTCGCTTTGGCGTACAAAGAAACGAAAGAGAAAGATATACAAAAACAGTATACGAATCGTGCTGGTAAACTTTTGTTCATTTTCAAGCATACACACGCACAACTACACACTGGCAGCCGCATACACGTCATCTTCCAAACGTTGATTTTGTGTTGTGTTCACTGGTTGAACACGTTGTGTGAGCGCCGTTTACATGGCTAACGAGTTGTATTCGTGTGGATGTGCGCGTATGTATTAATTTGGTCCAATGATTTAGTATGGAATTGGGTGATTATTTCTGTGTATTAAATCTATGTACGTATGTATCGTCATCTCGTGTATTTGACACACGCATTTTAAAATTGTTTAAATTTTTGCCATTGCATCTCATGATAGAAATGTGTAAATGTTGATTTTATTTCCCTTTTCGCCACAATCTTCTACTTTCACTTTTAAACACACATATTATTGACCTAGTATGACGAATTTTTTGCTATTTACACAAACTAAAACTACTGACGACATTCGAATAAAACAAATATCATCATCGTCGTTCATTTGCGACACCGTCCAACTCTAAAGCCCAGAAAACGATATAGTCCAATGAACGAACATTATACGTTATAATTAAACGACGATTGATTATGATTATGCTTAAGATCAAGGTACTGCAAATTACGTTCATATTTTTTGCCTCTCATTCGATATTTTAGTTTTTCGTTCCTTTAATTAAAAAAAAAGAAAAAAAAAATAATAATAATGCATCCGAAGCAAGACTAATTTTTAAACTTGATCAAAATTAAGGCCGTAGCAATGACATTATGGACATATAGCAAAAGATCTGCACATCTCGACCATGCACCAAGAAGTGTTATTTATTTTATATTTCAATCAATTTATGAAACAATCAATTGTATGGAAAATGATTGTAATTGAAATATAGTTCATGGAACGTTTACCAAATAGATAGAGTTTATGTACAATGTACAAAGTGCTACAACAGGTTGTACGGAAAATTTTCTTCAAATCGAATTTACAAACAAGTAGTAGTAGTTTTATTCCCAAAAAATACCGCACGCTCTCGCACTTTCGAGAATCGACGCCAACGTGAGTGGTAAATGTTTTGACTAAAAGTTTTAATTTGCGTCATAATCCAAATTAATTAGACTTTAAGTGATTGCAATCAACCCAGAGGCATGCATATAAATAAAGTTGTGCACTCACCTGTTAAGAAAATTAACTAATCAACACATCGGCACGTACAACTTGGGAACTTTTCTATGGAAACTACCGCCAAATTTCGTGTAATTTTTTTTAAATAGAATAATAAAACAGGTTTATAACCGCACTTTAACATCGAGCTGATTCATTCGCGGTTTTTTTAGCTCTTCGTTATTGACAGACATTGAAATAAATGCATCAAAATGCTTCCGTTTAATTTATTGTTCGCAAATGAAGATCAAAATGATTTTTACACGTCAATCTTTCACATTGTATGATACAAATTGTATCTGGTGTACATTTAATCTCCCATTAAAATTGAAGTGCATAAAAAGTTGATCAATTTCGGGATTTTTCATCAAATTACAAACAAAATTATTATGATTTCCGTTGATTGGTGAATTTTATTTCAAATAAAATTGACAATTTCCAAAAATGTGAATTATACATTCTTGACTCCTATGGAGAAACAATATTGCACGGGCTTTTGATATATTTTTTTAAAATATTATTATCAAAAGTCCCACTGCCAGTTTTGATCCCAAAATAATGGTTCCTTGAGATCCTCACGATCGCTTTGACTTTGACTCGCCGATACTTTGGCTAAATTTTTGGTATTGGATTCGTCCGCAATCAAATCTATTTTGGCACCATCTAAAGCATTGAAAAGAATCGATTCGCTTGGATTGAAAGCGGTTATTACTCGTTTATTGGTTGGTCCAATTAATTTAGTGATGAATTTTGTGTCTGGCAATAAATCTTTTGCTTCATTTTCCGCATTGTACAATCCAATTAATTCGGGCGTGACACGATTTCTCTCCATCTCAATGGTATCCGATTGCAATTCTTTGATAGCTTCGGCCAATTGATCTTCAACGTTGCTGATTTGCTCTTTGGTTGCGCTTGATCTATGAACAGTTTTTATGCGAATTAAGAGTGACATGGCATAAATTGAATGGGTTTACCTCTTTTTTTGTTTCAACAATCGCGTATAATGGAACACCTTTCGAGTGCCATCTCGAACCTTGAGCTCATAGCTGTTTTGAATATAATTATGTTATCAATTCCCGAAATAAGCCAAAAATAAAAAATAAAAAATTTGCTTACAATTTGAAAACATAGTAAATGATGATTTGTTGAATTTCTTCATTGGTTGAGTACCTATACAGAGTACGGAAGAGATGATGACGATTTTGTCTATAATTATCACCGGAAAATTGTGAAAAAAAAAATTACGTGTGCTGTTGTAAAACATTGCTATTGAATTGGTCGGTGGTTGATGATTTTTTAATTTGAATATCAGTGTCTGGATGATTGTATTCCATAATTAAATTTGCACCATTCACCGTTTCAGCATCATTGCCATCTCGGCTATTGATATATTCTTTTGGCAATGGTATAAACTCTTTTCGGTCTGTATCGTTCATCGGCTGACGGCTCATGCGAAGTTCTTTTGTTTTTTCAACGTAATGCATGCGACATTTTAGCTTTGGCGTGAATAGTTGTTGGATAATTGTCTCCAAATTATGGATATCATACCACAGTTTGGGCACACGTTTTGGTTGTGCGAAGAATGATGAGAACGTTTGCATGTATGGATTCAATGTCGTTGTAATTTGTTCACGATACCGTTCGGCCCGGCTACACACTTGATGCATTTTATTTTGTGCGGCTTCAATCGCTGTTTTTTTCCTAATCGCCGAATAAAAATAGACTTTTTTGTTTAAATAGAATTGGCAGACATTTGCATAAACATCGAATTGTTTGGCCATCGAAATTATATGGAAAAAAACGAAATAAACAAACAAACACAGACATTTTACCAAATTTAAATATATTTTGCAAGCACATGTTGCTCAAGATAAATTTCAAATCAATATATACTACAGAAAATGAAATTTCTACACACAAAATGAAATTTCTACACACAAAATGTCTGTATTTACGTTGATGGACTTTATGAGAGAACAAAAACATCGATAAATTGGAATTCAAACTAAGAATATTGTAACTGATGTGTACTTACTCTTGCGATTGCTGAATGATTTCTTGTTTTCTTTTATCTGTATACGAAAGATACTGAATCTCTTGATTCCTATGAAAATACAAATTATTTGATTTGCAAAAGGAAACAAACAATGTATATGCTTTGAAACCCACTTTTCATAGTTATAATTGTTGAAATCTCGAATGGCATGGTAGCAATCAAGAATTTTACTTTCGCAATAATCTTCGAATCTTGAATTAAACATGAAATTATCCATAAAAAAAAAAACCAACATTGAAATTAAACAATTCACAATTACCTTTGTAAATCTAAAATTGCTGAATCAGGTAATCGATGAACAATATGAATTGGAACGGTGAATGATGCTTTTGCATGAGGACGGTCAACGCTTCGTGAATTTTCTTCAAACGTTTTTGAGCTCGGTATCATTGGTGGCGTTGGACGTTCGATCACAGACGGTGGATATGGCATTGCACAGTCAAAATCATATGGCACCAGTGCGGTTGTCTCTTCATACATTTTTTTATTGTTCCCATCGATAATTTGCACATCATCTTGGTGTTGAATCTCAATGGCCGGTGTTGATGATGAACTTATAGACGTCGATTCAGTTGATGCATCAAAACTGTTCAAGTGATTGGAAATTGGAGGATGGTCTGATTTCGGATTGAACATGAAAAGCATCATTGCTTTTAGAACACTAGCTAACTCCATTCTTTAGAATGCGATAATTTCAAATTTTCATTAAACTAAAATAAAACAATGAGATAAAATGTTGTTGTTTTTTGCTACGACTCTACGACTTTGGAATGCACTGTGCTTAGGAATAAATCAACTTGATAAATGAAATAAATTCGTGGCCACATTCAGTATATTGAAACCTATACTTATCGATGAACAAATGAATAACATTAAATGTAAACACTCATCAACCGAAAACATCTGTTGAATAAACCAACGAATGAATGCTTCAATTTACAGAATGCGAAAACGACGATAATTGAGAATATGTATAATTTTGTTTTGTTTTGCCAAACAAGAAGAGTACAAAAATTGAACGCACTGCACAAAATATTGCGTATCAAACACACGTTTTCATTTGTCAAATGAAGAAAACCAAAATTATATAGGAAGAAAGAAAACGAATGAAAAAATTGTAGGCTGCGAGGGCATGGATCAATCACAATGGATCTTTTGTTAAAGAAAACTAGTTGCTCACGTGAAATCGCTTCAATATGAATGAATTTCATTACTTATTTCAATTATTACATGTTTGCAATAAAGTTCGACAAGATTCGATTTTACAAAATGAATAATCATTATTCCAGAGAAACGCTACAACGTTTGCAATTTTGTTCCATTTGAACGACATTCAACCATATTTTTCCGACCCTTTCATTATATCATGGTTATTGTTGCGATTTTATGAGTCTTCTGCCAAATGATTTTGAAATTTATATTTTTAAGCTTTGACATATTATCTCCTAGATGTCGCTAAGAAGGTCAAACGGTATTTAAAACTTTTTAAGTCAAGTCTACTAGAAATACATGATGTTCGATATTGTTAGAAAATCTATAGGAACCGGTATGATCATTAAAAAATGTTGAAAAATGTTAGAACTTTTGGATTTTTGCATATCTTACATTTTTTTTAATTGACCAACAGCGGCTTCTGACCACGGGATCTGCTGAAGACTTTTTAGGAAAACTTGAAAATTCCATCAATTTGCTATAAAGAAGAAGAAGAAGAAGAAAGAATAGAAGTCATTACCCCTCCCTTTTCGCTTAAAGAACTCCGGAGTCTAGAGTCATGATATAATGTTTTTTATTGTTTCTAACCGCTGACGAATTTTGAAATTGTGACGTATTTACGCAATCATCTTTCAAATATTTATACATGTAAATAATTTGGAAAACAACTCGAAAACTTCGACTTTGGACTGGAGGTGTCAACGCACACACACGATCATGCGAATAACGGCATTTTTATACAAATATTTGCAAAGTTGTTTTTCCAAAAAATGTCCACATTGGATGAAAAAAACTAACATTTTTTTGACGGACAGAAAAAATATTTTTAAGACAAAAATTAAACTATAGAATATAGTAAGAATTGGATCATATAAAATCTTCATACAAAACGGTTAATGTTACTTAGAATAAGTTACAAAAAAACCCCACAATTTCCAGAATTTTTATTTTTACAATGTTGATGATCTTTTCATCTCTTGTTCGTTAAATGATCGAAAACAATTAAAGAGCGGCAATTTCGATGATATTTCAAAAATGTCGATGGTATATCTCATTTTAAGCAATATCATTTAAATACCACCGTTCCCCCTCTATACACCGACATGAGTGTGTATGTATGTGTATGTATTATATGTTAATAATTTGATCCCATGCATCTCGCTTCCGCATTCGTTCCCTTCATGCGCAAACATAATAGAACCGGCAATTCATTCTTTTCTAATTCATAGCGCATACACATACACATGCACACATCGACAATAGAAAACCATGTATGTGTTAACACTACTATACGCTGTATCTTGATGTCTATTGATTCATCCATCGGTTTTTGTTTACAAGAGTTTTTGTTTTTGTTTATCTTCAGTGACAGGAATATTTTTTCGGATTGATTCGGATAGAAAAAAGTTAATTTACCATACAATTCATTAATGAATATTTTAGTGATTATTTCAGGAATAATCCATTAAAATTGATATTCGATTATTTGATATTATATTTAGAACGTTGTGTATACATTTTGTTCATCAGGGAGGTCATTGACATCGGTTATTTTTAAAATGAGTCTTTTCGTTTGGAACGACAAATCATGGATGTTTGTGGAAAACCCTTTAGAATACGATATGAGAAACTTTGTTATCGTTCGAAAACTCTTCATTAAATGGAAAAAATCGGTAGGTAAATTTAATATGAACACCCATTTGGCTTTACGAATTAAGTTCGTATTAGAAAATGTAAAATAAGAAAATTGTACGTGTTTATTCACAGAATGACAAACCGTTCTCGACCGACGAAATCAAACGTGGTTTGCGATTGTTTGGGCCAATTGAATCGATTCAAATATTAAATGAATTGAAGACCAGTCTTGAAGTCTATGTGCTGTATGAAAAATGTCAAAGTGCATTTGAAGCATTTTATGCAAATCGAAGTGGTATTTTGTCAACACCAAATTTACTCCAAATTGTACCAGCCGACACATGGCACCAACCAGACTCACATTCGATATGGAACACAATCGATCCAGAGAAATGCTCCATTTTGAATTTAAATGACGACTGTTTGCTGCACATCTGTACATTTCTCGATTTCGATACGTTGATTAAAATGGCGTATGTTTGTACGAGATTTAAGAATCTATTGGATGAATTCTATTTTCCAAAGAGAAAAATTCACAGCATTCTCGTTTTTCATGCATCATTAAACTCAATACGTTTAGCGATGAAATGTATTGGACCACACTTGGAACATTTGACTCTGCGATACAGTAACCATTGCGTCAAAACAAAAAATTACCTGCAATCAGAGCACGAAGAACGAGCAACGTACAAAATATTACAGTACTGTGGTGAAAATTTGAAAAAATTATCGATTCACAAGCCGGAAGGACGAAAACCATTGGATAAACTGTGCGACTTATTGATGCCTGCACTACGAAAAATTGTATGCTTAGAGTGGAACACCGATTTTGATTGTAGTACTATTGAAAAACTACACGAACTTTCACCACATTTGGAAACGCTCATTTTGAAAAAACGAACGTTCAGCTGTGAATGTAAGCACATCACGTCACACTTACATTGGCCAACGTTGAAGAGTCTTTCAACTTTTCAACATATGTTCGCTTTAAATACACCTTGTCAACAATATTTCGAACGGTTCATCTACTTGAATCCCCAATTAAAGCGACTTAAACTCACCAATGTCAATGGGGAACTGTTTAATGTGATTACTGAACATTGCGAAAATCTCGAATATTTGGAAATGCTACAAAATTCCGATCAATGTAACATTCACTCTGAAACAACAATACATTTACTGAAAAAATAAAAAAAACTTAAAACATTTGTGTTGCGGATCAAAAGGACCGAATTTCTGTCGGATGTTGAAAATCAAATAAAATCATTAAGTCAAGTAAAACAACTCGAATTGATTGTTTTGTTGCGAAACTATTCACTTCCAGTGTGGCCGCCGGAACATTTTCCATACACACATCATTCTTCAAAAATTTCGATAGATAATAACAGATTAAGTCTACAAATTTGCGAAAATTCAACATGCATCGAGTATCCGAAGGGAAAAACCACTTTGGTCAATATTATCAATTCAAATAATCCGAACGAATCGTCAAATTCAAGACTGGAACAAGATATTCAACTTACACTCGATTCATCAAAACAATATTTTCCAGAATGTCAAGAAATTATGAAATTCAAAACTGTCCATTGCTATCAATACATTCGGGCTAGCAACAGTTTATGAATGTTCGAATGTCAACAAAATGCTATCAATAAATATAATGAAAATAAAAAAATCAGTTCTTTATTTTATATCTTCGAATATCTTCGGCAATATATAGCGATACTTTTTATATTGTGAAAAACTTAAAAAAAAAATACTTTACATTTCATACACATCAGATATGCGCGCTGGGGTTTGACCCCCACCTGAGGCAAATTTTTCAAAATTCAAAGGTTTGACCCCTCTCTGAGAATTTTTTTCTTAGATTTGCAATATAATTGTATAGACAATAGCAAAAATACACTGATTTTGAAGTCAAACTTGCAAAATTTCGGCTCGCTTCCCTCGCCAACAACCATTTTTACTTGTTTCTCTTATGCAAAGTTGCTATTTTAGTTTTCTATATAAATACCCCCTCCCCCTCGAGACCAAAGTCAATTTGACTCCCCCTGATAAAAAAAACCGTGCGCATGTGTGATACACATTCACCAAATTCAATTGTATTAGCGCCTTTTTCGTGGGTAAATGAACTTGAATGGTCAATTTTGATGCAATGCCATTTTTGGAGAAAAAAATGGGCGCTTAATAATCCATCATCGGTAAACATGTCGATTCCATTGGTGTCGATAGTTATTCGAAATTTCAAAGTAGCACCATTGAATAATCTGTGTGATTACCGGAAGTTTTTTTCTATCGTCCGGAATCATATCAAAATTGCCTTTCGGTGATCAACCGCCATCGTTTCAAATAAAATACATTGTTTTTTTAAGAAGTCTTCCTGCCGTTTACTCGAAAATACAATTCAAATGCGTCATTGTTTTTAGTTTTTTATGACTTTATTGTAATAGATCGAATATTCACACTAATTCAGACGAGAGGATTTGTATGCATATATAGCTATAGCTTATTTGGAATTTTTTTGTGTTTTTTGCTGTTGTGTTTGCGTCAATTATTTGGTATTTATTTTTTGATGAATGTTTCTGGGTTAAGAATTTTTATTCAGCCTAGACTTACGTCAATACGTCTACTAGTAGTAACTTATTACTCGATTTCATATGTTTTTACATTCAAGTAAAATATTCTCTACTACCTTTAAACACGTGTCAGTCAAAATTTGTTTAAATTCACTCTAGGTATAAAAGCAATTAACGTAAGATCGTGTTGTTCTGTTGTCGAGGCAGGTACCAAATTTTTCAATCTCATTTCAATATTGAACTTTGCCACAAGAATAAAGTTTTCTTTGTCATTTTTAGGAGTTTTTATCCGCGAAGAAGTGAAACTAATCAGAATGAAAGATATTATTTTGGTTTTTATATTTGGATTATTCGCAGTTGGCATAGATATCTCTATTGCTAAACGATTGACGCCCTTAAAAATTGCTGTTATTGGCGCCGGGGCATCGGGGCTTGCAAGTGCAAAAAATGCCCTTGATAAAAAATATAATGTAGACATCTTCGAGAAGAGCGAAGCACTTGGTGGAATATGGTATTATACAGATAATATTGGAAAAGACAAATTTGGTGTTGATATTCACACTCCAATGTATAAACTTCTTAGGTATGTTCAAATATTCTTTGGCACATACGATAGCAATTCGATACGATACCATAAAACTATCATGATACAATATTATACAATTAGAATAATGTATTTTTTATAACATCAGTACTTAATGAGACGATTAATCGTTTTGTAAAAATACGATTTGAAACTGTCTAGGATTAAGATACATAGCAATTTTTGTTCTGAGACTTTTCAATTTGGTTGGTCTCTGAAAGTCATATTTTTGCCTTTCTTCATAAAGTCAATGAGTCGACCTGTTTGATATTAAACAATACTTTCTTTAAAATTTAAATAGAACTAATACACCGTATCAGACGATGGAGTTTCCCGGTTTATCCTTTCCAAACGGCACACAATCTTATCCAACCCACAATGCCGTATGGAGGTACTTGGATCATTATGCCACAAAATATAAAATAAAAAAACGTATAAAATATCACCATTTGGTTGAACATGTTAGTTTATTCGAAAATGATAAGTGGAAAATAATCGTCAGAGACGTGAGTAAAAATAAAACTGACGTTAGTATATATGACGCAGTTTTTGTTTGCACGAATATATTTTCTTCGCCGCGTGTACCCAAGTTTGAAGGTGTCGAAGGATTTAAAGGAAAAATTATGCATAGCCGTGATTATCGTAAACCTGAAACATTTCGCAGTATGTTAGAAATCATATTCAGATAAATTCAAAGAGTTTCACGACCTAAATTAACTTTTCCATTCAAAATTTCACCCTTATCTAAAAAATCGATCTGATTTTTTTGTGTTTTTCGTTCAATTAGGAAAAGATGTCTTAATTATCGGTAGTGGCCCAAGTGGCAGTGACATAGCACTTCAAATAGAAGATTATGCTAGTCGGCTAACAATAAGCCGTCATATATATAGATCAAACCAATCTGCAAATAAAGGTATGAACGCAGTGTTGCATTTTAATAAAATCTCAGGAGAAGTCTCACATTCATTCTCGGACATTCATTTCTTCTCCTTTAATCAGAAATAGTATATTTTTTATTTCAATTATAATAACGACAGCTTCAGTGAATCACTTTCATACCGCGATTAGCCAAATATTCTCATATTCTCAAAGTGCGGATTGAATCACCCCGTATAGCTGAGAATTAAAATGATCTTACGCTCAGCGGATATATATCCAGAGTATTGCTCAGCGCTGCTGCCATCCATAGCATATTAAAATATCTTGCTGAGAATGCGTCGTCCGTCGCATGCGAATGTACGTAGCAGTTTATACATCACAGCGAACAAGAATGAATGCATTGTTCTCTTCACGATTATGTCACTCAAAACATTCAAACGATTGTATAGAGAACAATGCAATGTATTGTTGTTCGCGGTGATGTAAAAACTGCTACGTACCTTCGCATGCGACGGACGACGCATTCTCAGCAAGATATTTTAATATACTGTGGATGGCAGCAGCGCTGAGCAGTACTCTGTATATGTCACCCGCTTAGCGACGGATGTATTAAGAATTATTCACGGATACAAATCCCACGGACATACAATTCATCCGTACTTGCAAGCTTAGTTTAACGGATACGGATGAAGTTGTCATCCGTGGGAGTAATGATAGTGAGCCTTAAAATACCTTAAAAAAATTATAGATAAAGCTGGAGGTTCAGTCGAGAATGACGACGCATTTAAAGGTGATGTAAAAAGATTTATTGGGACGAATCAAGTTGAATTTGAAGATGGAACGTGTCTAAATTTTACAGATGTTATCTATGCTACAGGTAAAATTGAATGAATTATCAATTTTGTTCCTATCGAAATGTGTTTATCTGTTTGTCAGGTTATAAATATTCGTATCCATTCTTGGATGAGAATGTTGGTATTCATGTTGAAGACAATTATGTGAAGCCGCTGTATAAGCAAATTTTAAATATTGAATATCCAACGATGGCTTTCATCGGTATACCTTACAGTGGGGCGCATAATAAAATGTGTGATTTGCAGGTGAATATGACTTTTTTCGAAATTGCAATCAAATAAGATAAAATAAAGTGTTAATTTTTCAGTATTTTTGATTTTAAAAAATCCACCTTTAAAAAAAACATATCAAATTATCAAGCCATTTTTTGTAGAAATTATTTCAAAGATTTTCTGAGGTTAATATTTATTTCTGAAAAAAATAGGCACGTTTTGCGCTAACATTCATCTCTCGAGCCAAACAAGTGCCATCACATACCGAAATGTTGATCGATATGGAAAGTCAACCTAAGAATGAACCTCATTTCCTTGGAGTGAGACAAATAAACTATTATAAACAACTCGCTGACACTGCAGGCATTGAAAATATACCAGAAGTCTACGCAAATATAATTGCGGATTCACAAGGAAATTCAACAAGTTCATCGGATTTCCGTAACAATGTTTACATTATAAGTGCAAATATGAAGACATTCAGAAAAGTGGAGATGTAAAAAAACATTCATGTATATTATTAAATGTCCGAAAATAATAATAATAAAAATTTTTCGTTGGGCAAGCTTATTCATTAATGGCATTGTTTTTTTAACATAATTTTTTTTGCCTTGTTTACTATTTAAGTTTGGTAATAAATAAACGATAAAAATCTCAGTTCAGAATATTTTTACAATCAACTGTCGTTTTTTCATCCGTCCACGTACGTGTCGCTATTAGTTATATCGCACGCATTATCAATTTCATAAATTGAGTATCTATGGCGAGTTTTGGTTATATATATAAATACCTGACGAGTTATAAAAGCGACTTCAATCGTGCTTCAATTCTAGTGAATTAAACCAAATTAGAGTGAAGTAAATAAACTTTGAAATAAAGGTATTTTGTTGTATTTTGCATTGAAAATTCGGCGAAATTTCAACATATTGAATTCATTAATTAAAAATTCCAACATATAATCAAGTTATTCAATTTCGTGTGTTACTGTTTAGTTTTTTACCGTTTTTAAATAATTTCATTGGGACAATGCCCGGTGGAAAATTGAGATCTATTGTAGTTATAGGACATAATACATGTTTAAAGGCATTTCAAAAACCGTGCCAATTCCGAATATAATTTAAATCTGACCATCCATGATAAAAAATCCAAGTTGGATGAGGCGATTGTAGTACGTATTTCGATAGAAGATGAAGATGAAGATGAATATAAAGAAAATGGCTATAAAATTCAACGTTACGTTGAAATAAAACCAAATGAAAACGTAGTCGTTTCATTTGATATCGGTGAACTACCGCTAGAATCTGATTACATACTTACTATAAAAGAAATTTCTGGCATTACATTGGACACTAAAGTTCAACTTGATCTTCTAAATAAACATATAATCTTCATTCAAACTGATAAAGACATTTATAAACCAAACGATTGCGTTAAATTTCGAGTATTGGTTTTGGACTCAGAATTAAGACCAGCTTCAATTGACCGAAATCTTTGAATAATAATTTCAATTGGATACATTTACGTGATTTGATTAGGACGGCTGCCGTAACACAGTGAAAAAATGGAATGGTGTCAACACAACTAACGGTGTTTTTTCAGAGGAATATCAATTGTCGGATGTGCCGAATTTCGGTGATTGGTCCATTTCAGCAAGTATTGACGATGTGGTAATTTCAAATTTGTTTCTTTTTTGATATACTTATTACGATTTAAAGGGGATTATCCGGGCTTACACCCCTCTATGCCGATGTATGATATGTGCACTTACCACATTATTCCGTATTTGAAAATCTGACTTTATTATGTGATTATGTATGGCAAGGAATAGAGTTGATTAGCGACATGGTCGGTGCAAAATTTTTGATACCAAAATGACAACCAATTAGAAACATTTACTTATTTATTTTAAAAATTGCTTTTTTTCTCATCCATTAACGTGAAGTATTATTATTTTTTTTAAGTTGAAGTTATTTTTTTTTTTTTCAATTTTTGCTGTATCTTTCGATTTATAAATAATTTTGTGATCTGTACATGTTCCGCGTGTGTTTCGCTTTTTAAAAATAAATAAAATGCGCCAAAGAGAAATCAATTTCGTTGTAAGCATTTGCGTTTGTTTTCATAGAAGATTAGTAACCATACTTTCAGTTAATTCTCAAAATTTCGGCTGATATTTTGTCTTATGCTTATGCGTGTTACAAACAAACAAACAACAAAAAAAAACGAAAACAATTTTAAACTTTTATGATACAAAAAAATCGCAATATTTTGTTATCTTCACATTTCCTAGGTGTTCGTCACTAGTGTGAATCAAATAGTGTAAATCATAATATATAATATATAATAATTATTCACCGCCAAAACTGGCTGAATCTTTTGAGTTCGTACCTTTTTGTTTGCGTTGAAAATAGTTCGTGGACCTTATTTGACATTTTGCACATTTGGTTGATTGGTACTGATGGATTGATTTTGAAGTTCATTAAAAAGATTGACTGGCAACCAAAATTGGAACATGTTGCTCTTGAATATTTTTTTCGTTCTTCCAGCTTTATCGCCAGATTCTTATTGCAGTTCACATGCACATTCCAACTGATATAGAAAAATGTTCGCATCTTCACTTTCCCAGCTTTACCATAAATCATTAATAGCTCGATTCAAATAAATGGAAAACAATTAATGCGAATACACAAATTTTCGAAAGTCCATTATACATTTTTTATATGAAACGATTTCTTTTGTGATTTTATCACCTATTTTGGTCGAGTTTAGAGTATGTAAGAAAACCTACCATGCTTTGCAAATATTTTATTCGATTGAAACTGTTTATTGCTATAAAGATACATTTTTTCTGTTTATCATCATTTTTTTTTTTAGGTAAACGTTGCCGAAATTGAGGTTTCCGGGTATGTTCTTCCCAAATTCGAGGCGTTAATCGAGTCGCCGGAAGATGGAAAAATTCAAGCAGTATTTCGTGCCAAATACACAAACGGTAAACTATTGAAAGGTTTGGCAACTGTTTCGGTCGCCAATTGTAGTTACTCGAATCTTGTAATCGGAGAAAATCATGATTTGGCAAAAAATTCTTTCAATATCGATGGCACTGAAACGGTTGAATTTGATATAAAAACGATACTAGAGAAAAATCGTTTGCATAACACAGACATTTTGACTGGATATAGTGGAATAAAGTATTGGAAAATAAAAGTTGATGTCACTGAAAGTCTAACGGGTTTGATACAATCAACCGAAAAAAACATTAAAATTCATGAACATTCATATATAATCAGCGCCGATTTAGGATATCGAAATCAACCAATACGTGGAACTCCATGTCAAAGTTCTAAACCACTGGTGATTTGAAGAATTCAAGTACTTGATAATAAAATGTTGGAATGTAACAAATTCAGATGTTATCTCAATATATACATACAAGGGATCAGTCGAAAAGTTAATGACCCGTTGAAGAGAGCAAGCGAAATCTTCCATCTCCTACGATAAAAGAATGTTCACGACAGATTTCAGGGCAGTAAGGGAGAAGTTTACACTTCCTGTGTAACCAATCCAGTTTCATATCCAAAAAAATTTGATCAACATATTTTTTATCCAAGCTCAGATCCAAGCTTTCTATAGTACATTACTCACTAGATGTCACCAAGAATGCGAAAAGTTATTTCAAACTATGGTCAACTATAAGTAGTCATGTGGACAATGTTTAGCATATTTAAAAGGGTTTTTTTTAGTGTGTGCGAAGTCGAACGATTTTTAAACATGATATGCATCACTGCGTTTCGAGAAAAAAATTCGGTCATTTCAATTCGATAACTTCTTTTTCAAATACAACTATTTTCTAAAACAATAATCAAATGAGATATTTTGTTATAATTATAAGTACAAAACATAAAAATAACTTCGCATTCATATGAAAACTACAAACTAAACTATAAAAAAAACTTTTGAAAGTGAAAAATTCGCTTCTATTTCTAGTTTTTTCCAGTTGCGACATTTCGATGAATTTCGTGAATGGGATATTTTTTTTTCATAAGTTTATAAACAAAACGATATATAAAAAAAACGTCGTCAGAAAAATTGTTTCATAAAAAGTGAAATTTTAGCGGAGGATCATTTTAAATGGTCACTAGACAAATTGAATCACTTTAAATGAAAAATTCCACTTACCTTAATTTAATTCTATGATTTTTTTTTCACATCATAGTGCTACATAGGATTTTATTCTCGCGAATTTGTACGAAAATACGAATGTTTAAAATATCGTTGGTGTTATTACATTTTCTCCGATAACTTAATCATTTTCAATGAGAGTAACTGTCAAGTACAGTTGTCAACGAATAATGAAAGTCCAGTTGAAAAAGTGCGTTCATTTGTTTCACATTTGAGCGAACATGGTTATCTGGGCGAGAGAATTCACAGTTATATGATCAACTTTGGCTGACACACATAAACGATGTGCATGAGCGTTCATGAATATTTCCATTGATTCGAAGCTTGTGTGTTATTGTGAATTCTTCAGATTCATCCGTTTTGACAAATGAAAGGGGGCCTTTGAGAATATTGCATTCTTAAAAAAATAGTTGAAAAAAAGAGCAGTATTTTTTTTTTAATAACATTAATAATAATCAATATATTTCATTTCTGTTGTTAAACATAGCTTTTTTCTACCAAATAGTTTTTTGTTATTATATTGTTCTTGTTAACATTTTTTTTATTTTTAATTCTGTTATTCGTTAGTATATAATTTGCAATGGCGATTTTCATAGCCATAAATAATCTGTTGATTCGGTAAAAGGAGTTTTTGTTTGTTATTGTTGTTCTGCATAACAGTTTCGTGGTTATTTGTTGTTATTATTTTTAGCATGTGAATTTTATAAATCCTTATTTTCAAGTGTTGTTGTTTTGTTACACAATTATTATTTATTATAAATGTGGTCAATTAATGCTATTTTACTATTATTATTGAGTGTCTAGTTGTTCAATTTGGCCAGATGCTTACTCGGGAAAATTGTGAAAAAATATGCTGTACGTATGATAAAAAACAAATCGAAAATTCATTTAATCAATTATATGTTCTTTATTTTCTCTGCAGCCATTTGGAAAACAGAATGAATTGATTCTCTCTTTTTCTCTCTATCGCTCAAATGGGGCATATTCAGTATTTATGTTTGTTTTAAATTGATTTCGACTGGTTTGTGTGATAATAAGGCTACAGTATACACCTCTTGATGATCGGGTTCATTTTCGACAATATCAGCAATTTCGTTTGAAATTGGTCTGTGCTTTGGAGTAACTCGAACAATTTTTTTTATTTACTTCGAACGCAAATAAAAAAAATAGATTGATTTTCAACCCATTTTTACATTCGAAGCGAAATAATAATAATAATAATAATAGCTCGATGGATGTGTTTATAATTTTGTTGTTGTTGTTGATTATTTACTCTCTGCTCCTTTCTACGCAATATTAAACAACAAATCACACATGATTTCGAATCTTCACCAGCAAATTTTATCGCAATTTTTACTGCAATAGCAAATGGAAATCACCCGAGGCGACCGATTTTCCGTCG